CCGTGACCTGCGCCTCCTCGTTGGCTCCTGCGTCCTTGCTGCGGCGACCCTGTGGGTGGAGCAGCCTCCGAACTCCACCTGCAGGCTGCAGGCGGGAGCCTGGGGCCGCGGCGCAGCCAGAGCTGAGGCCGCCTGCGGGTGCCTACGGGCTGAGCTTCAGTATGAAACAGAAACCCTTTGTTTTGGCCTTGCTGAAGCGCAGCTGGACTTTTCCATGGCAGGACTGAGGGACAGGGGACAGAGGGACAGTCTCCTGTTTCTGCCTGAATAAATCTTGCCACACCGGCCTCCCACACGGGGGTCCACGATGTGCTTCTCTCTCGATCCCATGAAGGTGCCCCACTCCCACCGGCAACAGCACACGCAGCGTCTCGGCAAAGCCTCCGCCGAGGGCCCGGCCTGAGACGGGCGGCGGGCAGGCGCCCCCTGGTGGCGGGTCGTCCCTGCCGCCCTGCAGGCCACTCCGGAGCGTCTAACTTGGGGGAGAGTTTTCCAAGTGGCTTCTGTCACACTGGAGTGTGAACAGAACAAAGGCGCCCGAGGCTGCAGGGGCCCTGGGTCGCAAAGGGGAGCCCGACTGAATGCGGGGGGCCTGGCGGGCCCCCCCCCCGGACCTGCTCACACGCACGCCCTCTCCACACTGGGGTCGCCCAGAACACCAACGGGGTCGTCCCGAGGGACTCGGGGACATCCCCACAGGCGAGGGCGTCGGGAGGGCGCGGGACGCCGCGCTTCCCGCCTCCCTGAGGTTCGCCCAGCGCTCGGGGAGCCTCGCACGCGCGTGGTGCCTCCTCCCGAGAGCCCGTGAAAGCCTTAGGAGGGTGTCGCACTGGGACGTGTTTTAACTGGGAACGGTTTAGGTTTTCTCAGCAACGCCGGGTTTCCGTTTTGGGACGCACGGGGGCGGGGCTTCAGTCTGGGACCTGATTGCGGGGCGAGCAGCGTGTGAGTAGCGCACAAACGCTCGCAGAGGCTTCGTAGGACAGGTCTGGCCGCCGCGACGCGGCGTGTTCGACGCGGCCGGGAGATCAGATCTGTCCATGAATGACTAGCGTAGGAGACACCCGGGGAATCGAATCAATCAGGTCACGTCTGTGAACCGTCTTACAAACTCCAGAGGATGTTCATGAAGAATCAGTGAAGAGTCATAACATTATAAGCAAGCTTTTAAATGGAGCTTTAAAGCTGCAGAAAAGCTGATTTTAAGTTTATAATTATAGAATTTTATAATTTTACAAGTTTAAAAAATTTAGCCCAGCAATACTACTTCTAGGAACTCGGCTCTGAAGATCGATCCCCAGCAACAGGAAACACCGCGGACGAGCCGACGGCCGCGGGGGCGGGGGCGGAACTAGGGCCCCTCTGCTGCCGGCGGCCCGGCAGCCCTGGGCCCTGCCATGCGACGGCCCCCCGCACACGCCGCTAGGGGACGGGGACACAGACAGACACCAGGGGGCCTTTGCCCGTGGTCCCTGGAACTTCCGGAGCGACAGGGTGCCTTTGGTCACTCATCATCGCACGCGGGCGGACGCGAGGACTCAGGGCCAGGCCTCCGCTGGGGACGGAGCAGGAGAACACGGCGCCTCTCGCGGGGCCACGGAGACCGGAGCGCCCCCTGCTGGCGGGCACGGGGGCGCTGGAGGCTCCGGTGCCGCCCTTGCCCTTGCTGGGCCCTTTGTAACTAGCGGGCCACCTAGGAGGCAGGCGAGTTCTGAGTCACCTGAGTGAACTACCGGGCTTGAAGGGGCTCCCCCCGTTGTCACCCTGGCAGGCAGAGGGCGGCGGCTCGAGTGTGGTGGAGCCCTCGCCTGGGGCGGTCAGCGCACAGTGGGGCTGCAGGGCGCCCCGCCCGCGCTGGCGAGTGGAGAACTGGTTCTCAGGGGCGAACCCCTCCGGGGAAAATGCCGAGTAGGAGGATGTGCCCAGCACCTGCTTGCTTTTGCAGAGAGTAGGAGGGCTGAACTAGAACCTGCCCGGGCCCGTTTCCTTCGAGGGTGGGGGGCTGCCCTGGGACCCCCCTGTCGCGCTGTGCCTTCGGGAACCACGTCAGTGGTCGCGCGCTGGAAATGAGAGCGAGGCCAGCAGGAGCGGAGGAGAGGCCCTCAGGCGGGCACTGCGACCACACTGCGTTTCAGACGCGCGTCCCGGCCACAGGGGCCCGGCAGCTCGGGGCGGAGTGTGCGGCTGTAGACGCCCGGATTAGAGGCGCCTCCAAACCAGCTCCAGCCAGGTCGCAGGCTTGCTGTCTGGGCGCCGGGGCACCCGCACGAGAGGGACCCCGTGCCCCTTAGACTGGCCAGTGAGCGTGCGGAGCGGGAGCGGCGCCGGGCTTGTCCGCTGGGAGGCGCGGCATCAACGTGGGCCGGGCCGGGCCGGCGAGCGAGGACAGGCCCCGAGGCGTGGGGTCGGGCGTGGGCGCTTCACGTACACTGTACATACACATGGTACACACATGGTGCGCAGATGCCGTGTGGGTGCACTGTATGGGTTATGTGCATTGTGTCTACATACGTGTAGGGACGGACATATGCACACACGCACTGCAAAGAGGAAGGAGACACAACTCGCGGGTGCGAGTGCGGATCTACCCCCTCAGCTCTGTCCGCTGAGCCTGCCTGGAAGCAGCCGGCGCATCCCGCACCCGGCCGTCCCTGTGCCGGGGCACGGGGGCCCCGCAGGGGGTGGGGCCTGTCGGGTGTGCAACGCCGTGAATAAACATCGAGAGTCACAGATGGGAGCCCACTGGATAAAACAGGAATCCACGGTCACATGGACATAAACACAGGACGACATGAAGGGCGGGGCAGAAAGGACGCTCTTCCCTGCAGTCGGTGACAGAACGTCAGCCGGGCCGGGGAGGAGGGAGGGCGAGCACGGTGGCCGCCTGGACACCGGCCAGCCGTGCAGCCCCATGGGCACCAGGCGGTGCGGGGGTGGGGACCGAGACCCTCCCGGAGCCCCTCCCCGCCGAAAGGGTGTTCATTTAGAAGGGAGAAGCGGTCACTTTCCAGGGAAAGACCTGTCAGGAGCTGCCTCGGCCCCGTGACCCAGGCTGGCGTCTCCGGGGATGCACAGCAGACCTCTTGTGTGCCCCAGGGACACCGCTCCAGCGGACGGTGCCGGCGCGTCGCGCGAGCCCAGGCTGCTCTGCGGGTATCTGCACCCCAGGACGGCCCCGGCCTGAGCCGTCCCAGGCGGAGGGGGTCCGACATGCCGCCACGGGGTCCTGGAGTGGATCCTGGGTCAGATTCCCCCACCCCGCAACGAAGGCCATTATTGGGACAATTACAACGTTAATAAGGTCGGTAGAGTAGATAATAGTATTATATCGAAGTTAAATTTCTGATTTTGGTAATTGTGCGACGTAAGAAAATGCCCTTGTTTTTCAAAAATCCACAGTGGTATTTAAGGGTAGAGAGGCAACCGCCTGTCAGATGGCTCCGAAGAAACTTCACATAGATGATGGCTAGAGAAATGATGCAGGCCAGCTGGACGGACAGACGGACAGACAGGGAGACACGCGGGTAATGAACAGATGAATGGGGTAATGTGCAAGGACAAATACAGGAGCAGACAGGTAACGACGGACAAACTGAGGGGTGGACAGACGGTCGGACAGACAGGAGCCAGCAATGAAGGCCACCGGCCACGGCAAGGCCTCCCTGACCCCCAGCCCCACCCTCCTCACCCCCCCAAGGTTGCTCCCACCCCACTGCTGCTTGGCCCCTGCGAGCCCAGGATTCCCTCACCCCCCACTTCCTGGGCTGTGCTGCCTGGTCCGGGCCACCCCAGCCTGCGGGTTGTGCCCCCACCAGGACCCAGGCTGCCTGGCCCCAGGGCCCAACTCCAGGCCAGACTCGCCGACGCTGGCTCTGGGTGGGTCCCCGGGCACAACCGAGGCCCTTCTGGGCTCTCGGCCCAGTCACGGGCCCCACACCGGGGCTGAGGGGTTGCCCGGGGACCCTGACCCGTGTGTGCTGCGCCCGCCTGCGCCCCCGTGTCCTCAGGCTGCATGACCCCCCAGGCTGCCCCCCAACCCCGGCCCTCAGTCCCAAGGCCTGCGCGCACCTCCTGCCAGGTGGAGGGTCTGGCCCGCCCAGGGCCCCACAGCCAGAGGCAGGCAGGGCGGTGGGGGCTGCTGCGGGCGGGGCTGCGTTTCTGGAGCTGCTGGATGTGAGCTGCAAGGTCGGGCAAGGTCACGGGGGGGGGGCAGCTCCAGGGGCCCCTGGGCCCTCCCTCCGCCCTCCTGGCAACGGGAGGGGGTGCTGGGGCAGGGCCCCTCCCAGGCTCCAGGCACAGGTCTCACCCCCACCCCCTCCTGCAGGCCCCATGTGTCCCTCCGGTCTGGGCGGACGGCAGACCCCCGGCTCCCCTGGGTGCGGGTGAGGTTCCTGCTGCACGGTAGCCGCTGAGAGGTGCAGGCCCGGGGCAGGGTGGGTGCGGTCCCCGGGGAAGAGCGGGGGCCCCTCTCCGCCTGCAGCACCTCCAGGGCCTGGCCCCGCCCGGCCCCGGGAATTCAGGGGGCCCTTGGTGGGCGCCGGAGGCCGGGCTCACCCACGTGGGGCCGGGCGCAGGGAAAGGCCAGCGGACCAAGCAAGCGCAGGAGAAACGGGAGGACAGGTGGACGTGGATGTGGACCTTTACTGAGAGAAAAGCGACAGAGCGAGGGGCGGCGGCGTCAGCGGGGTCCTGGGGGCAGGGGCACGACCACGAGGCGGCGGAGCGGCGGGCCGGGCGGCGGCGGGGCGGTCACGGGTGCCGCGGTCGGGGCGCTGTGGGGCGGACGGAGGGGTGAGCCGGGCAGAGTGTCCTGCCCCCCGAGCACCCCCACCCCAGGGCCCGGGGCACGCGTGGGAGGACAGCACCCCAGGCCAGGCTGGCGGGCGAGCTGGGCTGGGGCGGGGGGCGGAGGTTGGGCAGGAGGACAGAGGGCCCCTGGTGCTGAGCGACGGCTGGGTCACCCGCCGTCGGGGCTCACCTGCCGGGCGGCGCGCGGGCCCTCACTGCGGGGCGGGGGCAGGGGGCGGCGCGCTCCCCTCCGCAGGCACCGCCGGCTCCTTCTCCGCGCCTGCCGCGGGCTTCCCGGGGAGCGCAGTGGCCGTGGCTGCGCCCGCCTGCGCGGCCGCCCTGGGTGCCTCCTTGCCGGCGCGGCGGCTGGGCCTCCAGGGCGCGGGCAGCTCGGCGCCCTGCTTGCCACTGGGCTGGTAGGCGCCCAGGGCGGCCATGATGCGGCGGTGGCGCTCGGGGTCCAGCTCCGAGTAGTACATCTCCAGGGTCAGCGGGGTGCACATCCTGTGCTGTGGGGGGACGTGGAGGGGCTGGGCCGACGCGGGGGCCGCCAGGGACAGCCGCCCCTCGGGCCTGACCGTGCCCGCGCCTTTGCGCGGTTCAGTGATGCTGCGCACACGACCTGAAACACCTTTGTTTCTGCCCGAATTTCAAGCCACCAAAGGTAGACCTCCTGTTCAGAAGGAGGGGCCCCAGGGTGCCTCGCCCTTCCTGCGAGGGGGATCCCCAGCGCATGGGGGCCTAACCGGCAGACAAGGGCCCCTTGGGAAGCACAGCAAGGCTCCCCCGGCCCTGTGTTGGGGGGGCGGTGCTCCTGTCTCAGAAACACAGGGGTTGGGGTCAAAGTGGCTGAATTCACGGCTGACAAATCACAGGCTTTGGAATAATACACCAAAAGTGTTAAGAATTCTTATTAAAGAGAGGACAAAAGAGAAGGAAGAAGCGGTGTGCCAACTACGGAGAAAATATTAACGCGATATTCCACAGAGGCCCCACGCATGAGGCGTGGCCTGCTCAGGGCGTTGCTGAGCCAGGAGGGCTGGCCGCCCCCCCGCCCGAGGTTTTACTTCTCAGTGACAGGAAGGTGGGACGTCTCCCTAGGACCACTTTCCCTTTAATCTTTCAGAAGAGGGTCTGAGTGTGTTTGGGGCATAACAGGGCACAGGAGCTTCGGAGATCAGGTTCCCAGGGGTGTGCAGCCGCCAGGCTCACCTGGGGGCGCCCCGCCCGGGCTGCCAAGGAGACCCCCAGGGCTCCTGCCTGGGGCTCCCTCTCGCCCCGCTCCCCCCCGCCCGGGGCCCAGCTTGCCCGCCTTACCCGCAGCAGGAAGCCATCCGGGCAGGCGAGCTGGTCGTACCAGATGGCCTTGTACATGATGAGGACGCAGCCCAGGAGGGCCATGGCGAAGGCGATCATGCGCGCTGCGGGCATCTGCCGTGGGGGTAAGGAGGGGCGGGGCGGGGGCGCTGAACCCCCCTGGGCTCCGGGGGCAGCCCTCGGGGGGCGCTGCACGCGGCACTGAGCCCCCCACCCCGCTGGCCTGGGGCAGGGGTGCTTCTGCCTCAGAAACAACAGATTTTACTACTGACCAATGGAAAGCTTTAGAAATAGTACAGAAAAACGAGGAGAGTCGTCATCGGTAAAGTGAAGAGCTAAAGCAGGGCGGAGGACGCGTGTGCCAGGGCGGGAGCCGGGAGGGCGACTTGGAAGCTGCGCGTCCCCAAGGGAGAGACCGGCGGCCGCTGGGAGGCGCGGCGCCCCTGTCCAGCAGGGGGCGCTGCGGGCCTGCCGGCCACAGGCCAGCCTGGTGCTGCCCAGTCCCCAGCCCTCAGCCCCCGTCCTCAGTCCCTACCCCTCCTGTCCCTGAACCGGGCGCGTCCTTGTCCAGCTTCTCTGACGGCAGGAGCCTGAGCCAGGGGCCCGGGCCTGACCGACTCCCCGCGGGGCTGACCCCGGGCAGCACTGGGTGGGGAGGGCCCGCTTACCCCATGTCTTTCCTCTGAGCTGGTGCCGGCCAGCTTCTGGGCCTCCAGGTCCGGGAGCTTCTTCAGCGGGCCTGTGGAAGGCGGCCCGTATTCCGTCTGTGTCTTGATGACCACCTGTGTGAAGAGATGGCCCAGGGGGACCCTGAGGCGGGAGGCTGGGGCGGGCCCAGCTGCCGGGGCTGTCCAGTGGCCGGGCCCCCGGGGCTGAGACCCTCCATCTGCGGACCGCCGTCAGCTCTGGGGGCGCTGGCTCTCCCCGCCAGGAGCTTCCCCTCCTGCGCCCCACAGCTTAGCCCCCTTCTCCAGGAAGGCGGCCCTGACTTCTGGCTCTCAGTCTCGAGGGCCCTTCCACAGGGGGCAGAGGCAGGTGCCCTGGGCGCCCCCTAGGGGCAAGGATGGAGCTTCCTGGTGTCCACGGGGAAGCGGGGCCAGAACTGCAGCAGACACAGCGGAAGTCCAGGTCGCCGGAGAGCTGCCCTCAGCGAACGCCTGGGGCCGCGGCGCCTGCCCTCACGCTCCCCAACCAACAGCCGACAGATGGGTACAGGGGGCCGTCCCCGGCCCCCCAGCTAGGAAAGTCCTGATGCCACTCGTACTCCGCGGCTTGCGTGGGATCAGGCGGGGCCAGCTGAGCTCTGCTTCCCGGGATTCCTGCTGAAAGCTGTCCCCGCACCAGCCACTCGCCCCAGGACCTGGTCTCAGGCGTGACCCGAGGCGCAAGGGGCCGTCTCCGAGACCGTGTGCGAATGCTCAGTCACTTGTGGCCAGGCTGCCCCGTGTGCAGAGGAGGACGGTGGCTCTGGACGACAAGGGATCAGCTGCATGTGGCCCTGGGGTTTCGGCCCAGCTCTCCTACCCCTTGAAGGAGGCCACTTGCCAATAAACCTCACCCCACACCCCTGTTCCCAGGGCAGACTGAGAAGGATCTCCCACTGGCCCAGGACCCTCACCTGGTCAGAGAACGATGGCTGCAGCTGGGTGACGTCCAGTGGGCTGATCAGGGGGACACTGTCCATGGCAGCCCCGTCCTGGGCCCCCAGGTCTTTGCCCAGCTTCCCGGAGAAGCTCCAGCCCAGCTTCACCATGGTGGGTGGTGGTCCTTGTCCTGTCCGGAAGCAGACACAGGGTCATTGCCCAAGGCCCCCTCGCAGACGTCCACGCCAGCCCAGCTGGCTCTGGGCAGAGAGGGTCCAGAGGGAGGCTGGCCCCCATGCATCTCACACCGGAGCTGGGATGGGCGTGAGGGGTCAGGCCAAACTCCCTGGGGCAACCCAGGCGAGCCCAGCCACAGGCTTCTGGTCCCTTCCTGGCCCCTGGGCTCCCAGTGGGTCCCTCAGCCGCGCCATGGACGGCACCTCTGACCAGCGGCTGCCTAGGCACGCGATGGCGACAGCATTTTCCACTGGCCAACCTGCTGGAGGACATTCCAGGGGCGGCGATTCCAGTCAACAGAAGGCAGTCCCCGACAGAAGCCTGAGGGTAGGGTGGCTGGACTCAGCACATAAAAACAGGACACCAGGGGGCTGATTACGGGGACATCTGAATCGCGGACGAGAAGGATGCTGCTGCCGCTGCTTTTTAGTACAAGCACATCCCCTGCGATTGGCAATACAGGCCATCCTCTCTCAGGAAGTTACTCATTGCCTGTTTGAAATTCAAGTTTAACTGGAGTCCTGCGCTTTATCTGGCACCCCTCCTGGAGATGCAGGAAGGGACACGCAGAAGAGGACAGGGGCGAGTCAACCCCAGGCGGGCCAGACAGACGCAGCAGCCATGGGGCCCCCGGGGCTGGGCGTCCCCGACAGGAGCCGGGGGTCAGAAGGCCACGTCCGGGCGGCGGAGGGGCCTGCGGGGCCGGGAGGAGGGCGAAGGGTCCCGACACGGGGTGGGGGGAGCACAGCAAATGACTCCCAAATGGAAAAAGCAGAAAAGCAAACTCCACTCCGTCAACAAGAAGAAAAGAGAAAGGTCCTGCGTCCACGGAGACCTCGACTCAGCTGTGAAAACCTCCAACAAAGAACGTCAGGCCCTGATAGTCACCATGGAAATCTACGAATCACGCCAGGAGGAAATAATGCAAATTTCATACACAACTTGCCAGAGAAAAGAGCGAAGGAACAGCTTGTGAGGCCAAGATAACGCCGAACTCAAACGGGGGAGGCCGCGGCGGTGGCCCCTCCCCCCCACGCCCCCGCACGGGCCGATGACCGGCAAGTGAGTGGTGCCCGACAAGATATAGGCGCCATCAAAAAGAGGGGGGGTATTCTGGAAATTAATTAGTTTAACATCTGGAAGCAATTAGTATTTTTCGCTATACGAACAGAGTAAAAAGGACACATCATCTCATCAATTTCAGTAGTAGAAAGAGTATTTGATAAGGTTCAACCTCTGTTGACTGGTTTTGCTCTATTTTTTTTTTTTAGAGAGCGAGGAAGAGAGGGAGAAAGTGGGAGAGAAACACCCATGTGCGGTTGCCTCTTGAGCACCCCCTGCTGGGGACCTCGCCCGCAACCCAGGCCTGTGCCCTGACTGGGAATCGAATTGGCGACCCCTCGGTCCACACGCTGATGCTCAGTCCATGGAGCCCCGCCAGCCAGGGCTGTTTGCTGTGTTAAAATCTATCGGCACAGCAGGCAGTAAAGGTCACCCACAGAAGTCCCTGCACCAGCCCTCGCTGAATGTGAGCAGTCAAAGCTTTGCCTTTAACAACAGGATGGAGACAAAAGCACCCTTCGTTTTCAGTTCCGCAAACTGTGGTGCTGGAGGTCCGCGCCACGCTGTGGGGCAGGGGAAGGGGGAAGAGGCGAGGCCTGGGCAGGAGGAGGTCACACGCGCGTTATTCACAGATGAAACGTCTCCTGTGTGTAGAAAATCCAAGAAAAGCTACAGGTAAATTATGAAGGTTGAAAAGTAATGTCAGCAAGTCAATGGACTTCAGGTATTCAGAAATCACTTCGATTTCTATCAGTGACAAAAAAAGTTAGAAAGTTTTTTGGGCAAAGATTTTTATTTAAACAGTGTCAGAAAGAGCGAAGGCTCAGGAATGGACCTGAGAAGAGGCGAGAAGGCGCCCGTGGAGGAGACCATGGGTCGCTCGGCCGGACATTGCCGCCTGACGCCGCGTGAGCCCTGGGTTCCACAAGGACGTGGAGGGAGATGTGCTCGTGGATTTTGGGAGGTTTCATGTTTTAAAGTGTAAATTCCCCTTTAAATGTACCTGTGGAGTCAATAAACCAGTCAAAGCCCAACAGGCTTTTTGGGTGTGAACGTGACCAGCACTGTAATTTTACATGGAAGTCGGAGGAACAAGGAGTCCCCGAACGTCTTGAGGAGGACAAGGGGGTCTCACGCCAGGCACCCAGCCCATCGTACGGCAGTGGGGTTAGGCCGCGTGGCGCTCGTGTGGTTGGCAAAGACCCAGGTGGCTGGCTGCACACACGGACCGCGGACTCATGACAGAGGTGGGGCTGCAACGCAAGGGGGCAGCCGCTGTGGGGTACACACACGTCCCTGTGGGAAACAGCGAGCCCGATCCCTGCCTCACACCACACGCAGAAGCCTATTCTCCGCAAACCAGCCTGAGCTGGAAAGGCGTCTTGAAGATGATAGAGTATTTTCCTGGTCTTGTGGAGGGAATGAGTTCTTCAACATGATGAATAAGCACCAACCATAAAGGAAATATTGATAAAAGGACTGCAAAAAAATGACGAACTTCTGCTTATCAAAACACAGCCTTTGAAAGATGGGAACTGAGACCAAGAAGGTATTTGCAGCCTGAAAATGACAAAAGGCTGTTGCGGGTTCAGCAAGCTCGGCCGACACCCTGCCCCCGCGCCTGCGAGTGTGGCCTCATTTGGAAATGAGACGTGATCGAGTGAAGGTGAGGTCACCCTGGATGACAGGGCCCTGCTCCCGTGACTCCCCGGGGTCCTTACACGAGGGGGGAAGTTGGCCACAGACACACAGGGAAGAGGCCACGTGAAGACGGGGCGGAAACGGAGGGACGCTCCACGAGCCCGGGACACCGGCCCTCGGAGGCTGGAAGGGGCCTGGAAGGAGCCTGCAGCAAAGCAGGAACTGCCGACACCTGATTTCTGACTTCCGGCCCCCCTACCCCTGAAAGAATAAATGCCCGTTGTTTCAAGCCCCCCCCCCCGTGGTGGCCATTTGTCACTGTGGCCCAAGGAAGCCACTGGCCTCTGAACATGGCTCTCCTTTGTCCCCATCTGCACCCCCTGAGAAGACTGCCGCGCCTCTCACCCCCCAAATTCCTGTCCTAGGGTGACCTCACCACCCTCAAACGCCCTCCCTGTGACAGCCCCACCAGCACACGCACCCGCCAGGCCCCCAGGTGACCTCTGTCCCGCGTCCCAGCGGTTGCAGGTGTGGGGAGGCCCTGTGGGGACAGAGGCGGCCCGCCCAGGAGCGAGCCAGAGATGACGGGCGCAGTGTGGCAGGCGCAGGGCAGGGGGGCCCGCGCTGTGCAGGGCTGGCGGCGTCGGGGCCGAGAGGGGCATTGCTCAGGGCCGCCGCCGCAGTGCGGAGACGGGGGAGGACCTACAGGGAAGGTCCTCCCAGGGCCCCGCAGAGTCCGGACCCTGCGCCCTGGCCCGGGCCCTTACAGCCGAAGTGCCGCCCAGGCCCAGGCTGGGGGCGGGGCTCTCCCGGGTGGGCGGGGCCTGGCCAGGGCTCCGCCCACGAGGGCCCCTGGCCCAGGCTGGCAGGCATCTCCCGGGGCCGTGCGGGGGAGGTCAGTGCTCGGTGAGGCAGGGGTGGTCTCGGGGACGATCAGAATATTAACACAGAGAGGTCGAGCCATCCGGTGCGAGGAAGAAAAGAGAGCTCCCGCCTAGAAGGGGCCAGGGATGAGGGACCGATACGCGAGACTTCCGGATGGGAGGTGGGGGCAGCAAGTGCCCAGAGACTGAGGGGAGGTTGGGGGACCCCAGCCCCCTTCCACTGGGGGGGCCTTCACGGAGCCGACGCCCCCGTGGTGCAAGCCCGATGTTTGCGGTTTGCAGCACGGAGCGCGGAAAGCGTCAGGGTCTGACCAGGAGCTGGAAGGCCGAGATCTCCCCACACCCCCATCAGGGTCTCCGCTTCTGAGGCCGGTCGGTCCCCTTTGGGCCAAACCAAAGGTCCAACTCCTCTGACGCAGCTTGACGTCCACATTACGTAGTGGTGGGTTTCCTTGGCAACGGAGAGGCGCCAGCAATGACTCCCCTCCAGAAAGAGGAGTAGCTACTTAGGGCCCTCTGGACCCTTCGAGTCTGGTTCCAGGCCCCAGGCGCCGGGCAGGATGCTGGGGGAGGGGCTGGGCCGCAGGTGGGGACACCTCCCCCCAACACGTCTTTCCTTTGCTGAGTCACAGGACCCACTGGGAAGGCTGGCCGAGCTCAATCACGTGACAGACAGAGCTCCACAGAAAGGGGTAGAGGGTCGTCCCTACTCCTCCCACCGGCCCCTCCCCCTCCGCACCTCCTCCGCGCTGTAATTGTGTCTTTTCCAGCGGGTCACCTGCTCCCCATCCGCTGACGGCTCCCGGGGCAAGGGGCGGTGCAGGCCTCTTCTCCGAGGCTTGGGGAGGGGGCACAGGGTGAGCGAGAAGTCAGTGCTGATGGAGGGATGGAGGGACACGGACCCTTAGGTGAAGGCCCGTGAAGCTCGGCTGCAGGTCACAGTCACAGACTCGCTTTCGCACCGCCCCACACTCGGGATGCTGCGTCAGGAGAGGTGCGCGCCAGCGCGCACGGGCACCAGCGCGCACGGGCACCAGCGCGCACGGGCACTAGCCCGTGTCGGGCGTGCATGTGACTGCGGAGCGCAGGGGGCCTGCTAGCCTGGCTGAAACCCAGCAGACTGCCCAGCCCCCACCCTGGTGCCCTCCCGCCCCTCGCCCTGTGCGTTTGGCTCCTACTTCAAGGGCAGGTAGACTGCAGGCTAGCGGCCCAGCTATGAGGCCCAGAAAAGGGAGCCGGGTCGGGGAGACCCAGGGCTGCAAATGGCTTCTGCTCCCCACGCACCAGCCACCTGTGGCCCCGCATCTGGCGCCTGCGAGCGGCAGGTGGTTCTCCGAAATGCCCCTCCCTGCCCTAGGCGGCCTCCAGCCGGCCACGCAGCACCCCCGCCCCCGTGTCCCCAACGTTTCTCGCCGCTGTGGTATGTTCGACGCTCCTTCTGCCAAACCCCTTTTCCCCCTCACCCTACTCCCCCCACCCAGAGCTGGGGTCCCGTACCTGGCGCCTACGCCCCATCTCAGGACGCCCAGCTCTCACTGGCTCTCCCACATCTGCAGGGGTGGAGCCGGCTCCTGGGGAGGGGGCTGCAGGCACCACGGGGCAGGGGGTGATGTCCGGCAGCCCTAGCCCACCCGAGCTTCCCCACTCTGTCCAGGACCGGAGATGTGTGCGCGGCCGGACACCGCGGCCCTTCCGGGAGGCCCAGACAGCAGCTCGCCCCGCGGGGGCCCGGTCGTCCGGGAGGCCTGGGGACCACAGCCTCGCTCAGGTCGGCGGAGCCCCTGAGGGAGGACCTCGGCTCGGCCTGCCCGCCATCGGGCCAGGCGCAGCGCGCCCCGCACTCCCGTGCACGCTGCCAGCCCCGCACACGCACCGGTACACCTGCGCACACGCCCCCCGCCCCGCTCTTCGCTCCACAGGGAGAAATGTGGAAATGGCTCACGGGCGGCTCCGACGGGCTGCGGCGGCGGGCTGCGGTCTCCGGACTCCGGACGAGGATGCGGTTCCAGACGCTTCGCAGCCGCAGCTGGGGCGGGGCGGGGGAGGGGCTGAGCCCCAGACCGAGGCTACTGTTGCTGGGGAGACGCAAGCTGGGGGAGGGGAGCCCGGCGCCTGCCCCCCGCCGCAGCTGCACCCGGGCCCCACAGCCTCACGCCTGCTCAGGCGCGCGCGCACACCTCACTGCAGGGGACAGACGCCCTGGTCAGCTGAGCCCTGGCCTGGGCATATCCGGCTCTCAGACTTCGCTCCGGCCTCCCTCGGTCACCTGGGTTGAGGCACCGCTGGGTTTGGTCGCCGCCCCCTCTTCTCCCGTTTCAGTATCTAAGCTCCTGGGCTGTCAGCTTCCCTCGGGCAAGCCTGTCTGTCATTCTCGGTCACTGTCGCGCCCCAGCGCCGGCTCAGTGCGCGGCAGAGAAGGCGCCGCGCAGATGTTTGGTGTCATGGCAGCCGTGCGCCCCCTGTCCCCATGGCTGGAGGGCAGCCATGGCCGCGGCCGGAGCCGCGCTCCCCGTTGCTGCTGAACAGCCGCCTGTGTTGGGCTGTCCCTCCGTCCACAGGGACCGCTGCCGGCCGTCTGGGCCAGCGCTGCCGCGGATGCTCTCGCGGCCCTGCGCGGACACAGCCTCTCTCGTAGCCTAGGAGCCGAGTGGTGAGGTGGGACTGTAGCTCACATTTCACTTTTTAGGGAAATACTAAACTTTTCCCCAAAGTGGCTGCACCATGGTACATTCCTACCATCCATGTATGAGTCTTGTTTCTCCACATCCTTGTCAACACTTTTAATTTTTTATAATGGCAGTTTTTCTTTTTTAAGATTTTATTTTTAGAGGGAAAGGGAGAAAGAGCGGGACAGAAACATTGATGTGCGGTTGCCTCACATGCCCCTCACGGGGACCCTGGCCTGCAGCCCAGGCCTGGGCCCCTATGGGAATTGACCGGCGACCCTTTGATTAGCAGGCCAGGGCTAATTTTTATTATTACAGTCACCTCTATGACTGGGCTAGTCCCACCGCCTGCGTGGCCCCCAGGAGGGGAGGGGCTGGAGGCTGAATCAGTCGCCATAGTCTAGGATTTTATCCATCTTGCCTGTGGAACGAAGCTTCTACAAAACCCCGAGAGGACTGGCTTCGGAGAGTTTCTGGGCTGGTAAGCGTGTGAAAATTCGGGGGGAGTGGTGTTCCCCAAGGCGGCATGGAAGCCCCGCCCCTTCCCCGGGCCACCTCCTGTGCGTCTCTTGGGGCGTTTGCTTGTGCGTCCGTCTACAGTGAAGCGGTGGTCTTCTGAGTAAAGCGCCCCCTGAGCTCTGTGACCCACTCGGGCAGGCTGGTCGAATCCAAGGCGAGCAGGCTGCAGCCCCCGACCCACAGCGGGCCGGTCAGAAGCGCAGGGGGCAGCCTGGCTGAGTCCGGAGCCCGAGGCGGGGCGGGGGCACCCTGGGGACTGAGCCCTGACCCTGTGGGGCCTGGCGCCCGTCCAGGCAGAGGGTGTCAGAGTGGAGGGGAACAGCAGGGTGCCCAGGGGTGCTGTGGTGTTGGAGATTTGCTTGTGGTGTGGGGACCACCCCCCAATATTGTTATTGGTGACCAGATTCCTTAAAGGCCCTGGTGCCGATACAAAATGGGCAAGAGAGTATTTATGTCACCAAAGAAAGTAGATGGAGGGCAAAAAAGCCCACGAGAAGACGCTCAACACCAGTCATCTCCAGGAAGAAACTCGGAACGGGAGGCACCGACACCGCCGCCCCCACTGCCGGCGCGGGCGACGGGAAAGACCAGCCCCGAGGGCCGCCAGGGCCCGGGGGCCGAGCGCGCATTCCCTGTGCCGGCGACGTCAGCCAGGACAGCAGCCCTGGAAAACAGTTTGGGGGTTTCCTAAAAAGTCACACACACACACCTACCATGTGACCTGGCCATTCCACTCCAGGCCTCTCTGTCCACAGAGGGGCGTGCATGTCACCACAAGCATATCTGCAATGGGCACATGCCAGACACAGCCCAGCTGGAGTGTCCCCGTGATGGGAAACCCGCCCCTCGGCAGCGGAAGGCGTTATGGATGCACACAACATGCGCCCTCCCCCGGCAACCGCCGAGTGCGGAAGCCAGCCCACAGAGCGCGTGTGCGGCTTTCCAGAACGGCACACCGACCTGTCCCGACAGCGCGGACCGGGCGAGGGGCGCCGGAGGTGCTGCATGGCTCCTGGAGCGCCAACGGTGCCCAAATCCCTTTCCCCGTGAACTTGAGACGCGTGCCGCGGTGTGGCCGGCAGTGGCCGTGGGGTCTGAGGCTAGGCCTGGGAAGTGACGGGACGCCGCTCTCCGCCCGGCGGGCCGTCGGCCTCCAGGCTGAGACGCGGGGCACCAGCCCCGACACAGGAGCCGCCCCCAGTCCCTGGGGGACGAGACCAGGGGCCCCGGCCGCTCCAGCCCGACACTCGGGGCTGCGGGAAGACCTGGAGGAGGAGGGACCTCAGGAGAGGCCCTGGCGCCTGGGACAGGGGCTGGAGGGATGTTCTCCCACCTGTGAAGAGACCCAGCCTGAGCACTTCACAGGAAGCCATCGCGCCTCACAAGCACCCCCTGCAGGCCAGCCCTCTGCCTGGGCCACTGTGTCCCCTCTCCCAGGACAGCTCCGGCTCCTGCGTATTCAGGAGGCACGCAATCCCTGGGCCTACAGGCCTGGGGCCCGGCCGGCACCCAGGCAGCTCGAGCCCCCCACCCGCGTCTCCGTAGCACCTGACGCAGGATCCCCTCCCGGGGCCTCCAGACAAGCCCTGCAGCCCCGTGGATTGATGTGGAAGCCCCCGCTCCTCACAGGGCCACCTGGGGAGCCGCTGCCCTGCCTCCAGGCCTCCCACCCTGGGCGCCTGCCCAGGTCCCCAGGTGAGTTGTCTCCAGCCAAAGGACCCCCGAGTCAGGAGGCCCAAGCCTACTGGGAGGCGGAGGCCGGCCTTCCCCACGGGCTCCACCCCCTGGGGAGCCAGCAGCCTCCCTGCGTTTGGCACAGACAGGCCTCCGGGAGCGAGAACGGTGCTGTTCTTTAAAACTTCAGGCCGATTGTTGACAAGTCACTGCATTTTCCCATTATTCTGCAGATCGGGAGAGTCCCAGCCCCTCAGCAGCCCCCCAGGACCTGCCAGCCCCCAAGCCCTGGGTAGGTGAAGTCTGGGTGTCACCAGGCGGGACAGGGCCTGCTGGAGGTGCTGGGCTCAGGGGTCCTGATTCCTCTCCAGCCTACAGCAGGTCTTCGGGGGCCAGCACCCCCTTCTTGAGGATGAGGTTTCCGTAGAGGGCCGTCTCCCTGCATAAGGAGCTGAGCTGAGTGCTGAGCTGGGCCAGGCAGCCTGGACCCCTGCCCTGCACCACGCGCCAGACAGCCCAGCCCCCCATTCCCTGGGGGACGCCTGTCTCCGTGGGGCCGGGGCTGAGCGAAGGGTGGAGCTCTGGGCGGGGACAGGGAAGGCAGCGCCTGCCGGGTTGGCCCCAGCCGACCAATCAGGGCCCAGTGGACCCAGGCAGAACTCACCCAGTTGCTACAACAGCAAAAGCCTTCTTGGCCTGCTCATAAAACTCAAACCGCTCTATCTGTGCCAGGGGCTTCTGGAAGGCAAACCGGCGGGGCTGAGGGACCCTGACCAGAAACCTCTACGGGCCCAGCGGGGGTGCCAGAAGGCGCGGCCTCTCTAAGCGTCACTTCTCTGGCTCTCCAGGCCGGGGTCCCCAGGGTGCCCGGCCTTCTGCCTGCAAGGACCAAGGGCCTGGGGGCTGTGGTGGGTGAGGTGCCTGCTGCACTTGGTGGCTGCCGGCCCAGGGCCCCCGAGTCCCTCTGGTCTGCCCCGGGGGCGGGGTAGAGGAGCCACTGTCCAGGACAGGAGCCCCAGGTGTCCTCCCCCCAGCCAGGTCCTGCCTGAGACCTGCCTGCCCATGTGGGTGGTCCCAGGACAGGCTCGTCCCCTTTCCAGGTCAGGCCAGGCCTCTGACAAGGTGGGGGCCTGGGGTACCCCCTGGACAGGCTGGGCTGGGTGAAGCCCCAGGCAGACAGGCCGGGGCCCTGGGAGGCGGTGGGAGGCTGGGGGCCCGCGCTGGCCACCGCCCCAGGGTTGCTCTGCCAGCGCGGCCTAGCAGGCACTCGCTCAGCTGCAGGGCCGACTCTGGGGCCTGTGTCTGCTCCCTCCCAGGTCCCCCAGGAGGTGCAGAGGGTCCCCCTGCGTTCTTGGTGGGGGCTGCGGGCTCACCGAACAGCCAGCCTCCAGGAGGATGGACTGGTAGCTCTTCCACACCGGGGTCTGCAGGCCCCTCTCCATGTCGCTGGACACCAGCTCCATGACAGCAGCCTGGGGACAGAGGGGTCAGCTTGCGGCCCGCCCTCCCGCCCAGCGGCCTGGTGCCTCCAGGTCCCCTTGTTGGGGGGCGGTTAGGGATCCTCTGAGAAGGGTGGGAGCCCTTCGGGGACACACGCCCCGCCCCGCCCCGCCCCGCCCCGGCAGGTGGCCCTCACCGGGCTCTCCACGTAGGTGTCCAGGGGCAGCAGTTTCAGCACAGCCTCCAGAAGCTGCGGGATGTCCAGGCCTGAGGGCAGAGTGCGGGCCTCAGACTCGGTCCTCCGCTCGGCGGCCCAGGGCCCGGCCGCACCTTTCACAGGGCCCTCTACACCTGCAGGGACCGGCGCAGGCCCGGGACAGGGGGCCACAGGCAGCTGCCGCCCGCCTGCTGACGCTCGCTGAGGTCACACGGCGTCTCCTCGGTCGGGCTGCTGCACCTGTCCCTGTCCTGGCACGGCGCCACGGCCACTCTGCCCCAGGCCGGGGGTGGGGGTGACCGCAAACAGCTCTCCACCAGGAGGGGCCCCAGCCTCCTCCTGGAGCCCAGAAGCCCCACGTTGCCACCTACAGCCTGTGCCAAGGACCGTGGAGTCTGGGAAGGCGCCCCCAAGGCCACCCCGCCTGGCTCCCAGGCCCCTGCTCTCCTGTGAGGCAGGCTCCTGACTGTTAAAGCAGCACGTGCCCAGGGCACACCCCTGGGAAGTACGGACACCTGCGAACAGCAAGGGGGGCTGTAACCGTCCCACGCAGAGCGAACCCTGCCACCGTCTCCGCGCGTCTCCTGCCGCCCCTCCTCCCTGCACGTCCAGCCGATCGGACTCTGGGCCCCGACAGCTCGCTCCCCACTAAGGAGCACAGGGAGGGGGGCGCTCCGGCCGCTGCCCTGAGAGGTCCGCTCGCCGCGCTCGTACTCCGGCGTTCGGGCCTTCCCACGGCCCCTCGTCCCGCCCTCGTCGGGGAGGGCGCCTGGCGTCACCGGGCCCTGCTGGGCACAGCTGGCTCGGCCCCCTGGGCAGGGGGCCGCTGAGGCCACTGGGTCAGGAGGGAACAGCCACCGGGCGGCCTCGGCCACTGGCCTCCCCTGTTCAGAAGGATGGGGTTCACCCCAAGGTTCACATCTTGGTGCCTCAGGGGCCTCAGCTCTGCAGGGAGAGTCGCGCTGCTGCCTCACAGCATCTCAGGGAGGGGATGGGGGTGGTGAGGGAGGCCAGGCTGGCCAGGGCCTGACAGCAGCAGCCCCCCGCGCGGCAGGTCGCGGCCCTCACGCCTGGCCCCTCGCTCTCGGCGAGGCCAGGGCCTGGCTCAGGGCCCTGAGCCGCACCTCCCGCCCCCCGCCCCCGAGGGTCGGAGGGCCTCTGAGCCTGTGGACACCTGGAGCCTGCGAGGCCAGGCGGCCAGTGCTGGGATTTCTACGTCACAGAAAAGGCTGAGCACCTGGGCTGACCTGACCTGGGAGGGAGGCATCGCCACTGAGCCAGAAAGATAGGGGCCCCCGTTCCCAAGAAGTCCCAGGCGGTGTCTGTGGTGGAGCAGGAGGCCCAGGCCACCTCTGGGGGCTGCAGGGAGCCTCTGGAGGTCCTGGTGCACGGAGCGTGGGTGCTTGGGGGATGGGTGGGGGCCGAGCTACAGCCAGGACCGCCGCCCGCACCCCCGCCACGCGCCCTGCAGGACCCACGCTCACCGTCCGCGCGGATCTCCTCGGGGCCACACTTGCAGATGGAGGAAGTGGGGAAGTTCACGTCTGCGAGAACTGAAGGCAGGCAGGTCAGACGGTCTGCAGCCTGGCGTGGGTCCCCCAGGACGCGTTAGGCCACGCCCTCTGCCCGCCCCACCCATCCCGACAGGGAGGAGGAGGGCCGAGAAGTCCGCCCGGAGGAGAGGGAGTTACCAGGTGCAGAAGTAGCTGTGCAGGTGCTACCAGGACTGGGACAACGCTGGGACCCGCAGCGACCACCCCGAATCCCACCCACGGCCCCAGCAAGAGAAACAGCCCGAGACGCAGGCAGAGGTCACCCCTCAGGACCCGCCCGGGGAGGTGTCTGCAGTATGGGCAGCACAGAGGGCCTGAGGCTGGAGAGGGGACCGCAAGGCGTCCCCCACTCCCCTACACTGGGGCTGGGGAGGACCTGGGCCAAGAGCAACCCGTCCTTGCGACGCCGGCCTGGCGCCGGCCCAGGGCCTGCGGGGCCTCATGGGAGGGGGTGGAGTCCTACCCCGAGGAGGGACGGGGCGGCCAAAGCAAAGCGTCACCCTAGGACCTGGCTTTCCGGAGCTTGCGGAGTTGTAGCCCGGGCGCAGGGACACTCTGGGCCAGGAGACCCTGCTGAGGGGTTGCCCCCCAACCCCTGCGCGCCTTGCCCGACTTCTGCGCTGAGGGCGGGGGCTCCCGAGGGTCTGCCCCCCACCCCCCCGCAGGCTCACCAATTGCGTCTCCGTGCCCCATCCGAGCCAGGGCGTAAAGCAGCTCTGGGGACAGCAGCGCGGGGACGCCCTTCAACACCACCATGCTGGCCGGAGGAAGGGGCGGGGCCGTCGGGGGCGGGGCGGGGCCGTCGGGGGCGGGGCTCGGGTGTGGCGCAGGAGGTGGGGCAACGCCCTCTCCAGTCCCGAGGGCACCTTTCACTTGCCTCTGCCCTCCGCCAGGTTCAAGACAGCGACACCCACGTGTGTTCCTGGTCAGGGCTCCCCACCCCCCGCTATTACGCCCCCAGCCTGCCGGGCCTCTTGTGTCCTGGGGTGGGGAGACCAGGTGGTGGGCTTGACCCGGGGCCTGCCCTGGAGGGGCCTCGAGGCACCGGAAGGGCTGGCAGATCGGGCCCTGGGGTGTGAGCTGGGAGCACCAGGCCGGGGCGCCCTCCAGCAGCAGCCACTGGACGGGTGGGTCAGGAGCGTCCACGGAGACCCACTGTGTGGATTCCTGACCCACAGAGACTATCGGAAAGTCAGTGGCGTCAGTCAGCAAGTGTGCGGTCCCACACTGCAGCCTCCTGTCAGCGCGAGGTCCCCAGATGCCCCAGCCCTGGGGCCAGCACAGAGCCCAAGAGAAGCTCCCACTCCACCACGCCTAAGGTGTGGGCTGCTGTCCCTGCAAATGCTGGACCCCGAACCCTCCGTGGTCACGGGCCTCTGAGATGCACAGAGATTTCATGCAGGTTCAGTGCGAACCGTTCTTGGCTTCTGGCCGAGCACAAATAGGACAAGGGTGGAAGTCACAGCAGGGTCCTAGGAGCTGGCCCCACTCAGCTCTGGGAAACCGCGGCTCAACATCAGCGGCTGGAGCCCAGCGCCCACTGCAGGTGCGAAGAACACGACGAGCAGTTTTCTGTTTCAGGGCTTCCTTCCTGGACACTCGAGTCTAGGACAGGTGGCCCGTCAGGGAGCAGACACCCCCCGCCGCTCACACATGCAGCTTCCGCAAGAACTTCCACATCTAACGCCGTGCAAAACGTGGGCCTCTGGACCACCTGCCCACAGCAAGCTGCAGGGAAGGCGGAGGAACCCCCCGGACAGGCGCCCCGGGCTCCGCTGAGCCGGAGGGGCCGTGGGCTCCCGGGAGCAGGGCTCCGAGGCTCAGCGCCCGGCACAGGCCAGGCGCATGCCTCGCCGTGGAGCCCTGGCTTTCACAGGGCCCTGCCCTGCCTTGTGAGCGGCTCCCACTGTTGCTCTGACCGGCGGGGCCATCTCCACAGGGCGCGTCTGGTGGGGCAGGGCCTCACCCAGGCCTGTCTGTGAAGTTGCTCTGCTACGGGTGTGAGCTTGTGACGCCAGCGGGGTTCCCGGGGTGCCTCACCTTGGAGGGTCCTAGGACCTTCTGAGGCTCAGGGGCTCCGACCAGGGCCGTAGCACCCCCTCCACCTGCGACAGCCTCCCCAGCAGGAGGAGGACGTGGGATTCGTCCCGGCAGCCCCCGCACAGCACGCTCCCCCTCTGCTCACCGGAGAGCCTGGCGTGAGGCGGGGGGGGGGCCCAGAGCTGTGAGCTGTGAGCTGTGCTGGGACGTGAGGATGAAACGGCAACATCCAGAGCGGGGGCGGGGGCGCTTTCCCACAACCAGGGCCGCTTGGTCACCGTGTCCTGTGCAATGTGGCGGCCCCGCCCCGAGCCTGAAGCCACCGGGGGACCTTGGTGCATAAACTCCGTCTCCCACAGCCAACGGCACGAAGTGCGAGGGTCCCCGCGCGCAGTTCTGCTCGGGTGCCTCCGACGCCACACGTGCTGCGAAGACCGCAGGCCCCAGGCCGTGGCGCAGCTGACCCCGCACGGCCTCCTGCACACACCCCGCACCGCAGGGCTATCCCCGGTAGTTCCGGCGACCAGAAGCTGGATGCAGTCTAAATACGCAGCACCCTGGCAGACGTGTGTGACAACATGCCAACACCATAAAGCCTTTCAGGAGCACTTAGAACGCCAGTCACGGTCCGGCAACGAACAGCAGCCACATGCTGCAGCCCTGAAAACGTCGCACTCGATTCAGAGACTGGAAGAAGGTGGGGGAGAGGGTGCCAGGGCTGGCAGGGGGGGATGGGGACTGGAGTTACCGGGGACACAGCTCGTTTGGGGCGAAGAAACCATGTGCAAGTGGATGCGGCGATGGCCACAGCACTCTGAACACGTTTAATGCCGCTGAAACGAACATTTAAAAGTGGGTAAAATAAAGTCCTGGCTGGTGGGGCTCAGGGGACAGAGCGCCGCCTGCGAACCCAAGGGTCCCCTGTCCCATTCCCCGTCAGGGCACAGGCCTGGTCCCCAGCAGGGGGCGTGCCAGAGGCAGCCACATGTGGATGTTTCTCTCCCTCTCCCCCTCCCTTCCGCTCTAAAAATAAATTTTTAAAAAATGGGTAAATGGTCGATTTTACGCTATACATATTCTACCAAGATAAAAAAGAGTTCTAGTCAAACAGGAGAAGCAGGTGCACAGTGTGACAGACTCAGACAGATCAGCAGCGTACTCTGCAGGAGGGTGGACACAGAACCCCTTTTCTGTAAAAAGAAAACTGAACTCCACACCCCTCACACCTGTGCATGTGAGCGTGTGCGCAGGCGTGAACACAGAAAAGCCCCCAGAGAGCCGCACACCTGTTACCAGAGTGGCCCTGGGTGTGCAGGGGCGACCGGCTTTAAGGACTCCTGTCCTGTGTGAATGTTGTCACCCACAGCAACGAAAGTCTGAAGAACCGGCGGGACATTCGCCCGAGGGTCAACGCGGGCCGGGCCGTGACTGAGCCTGCGCGGCCATCGGCCTGGCTCTCCAGAGGGCCGCCAGCCGAGCCTCCCGAGCCGCTTTCGCCGGCTCTCAGCTACGCGCAGCCCAGCTGGGGACGAGCTCTGCCTGAACGTGATGTGCTGCACAGAGACACCCTGGCCCTGAAACATCCTTCAGTTCCTGACGTCAAGTAAAAGCTGAAACGAGCGTCGGGCTGGCGAGCGGCCGTTCTGAGCAGAGGCGGCGCAGGCTGGGGCGCGGCCCAGCAGGAAGCACACAGCACCGCACTGCCCTTGAAAACAGAGGGTTTATTGGCCCCTGAGACTGTCTCCTCTTCCGTGGAGCTCGCGGCCTCGGCAGCAGCTGTCACTGGTCTTTGAAGTTGGCCTTTCTCTTCTCCACAAACGCGGTCATCCCTTCTCTCCGGTCTTCCTGGTGGGAAAGGGACAAAGCAGGGCTGGGCGGCTGCACGTGACACGTCCCAGCGGGTCCGGGGCGGGGCAGTGGGGACGGGGACCAGGACGGCTTTGCGGCGAGGCCGCCTGGAGCCCTGGCAGTGGCCTGGGCTCCCTGACCAGCGGGGCGGGGCGGGGCGGGGCGGGCACGGCACCCTCGCCTGTTCTCCCCGCCCCCGCGACGTTCACTCAGGAGCCACAGCCGCGCGTGTCCGATGCGCTCCCACCCACAGAGACCCGCAGACGCAGGCGCCTGCGTCCCGCAGGGGAGCGGTCCCGCAGGGGAGCGGCGCCTGGATTCAGCAGCGCCCAGGGCGTCGCGAGGCAGGGGCCCAGGCTGTCTCTGTCTCCTTTCCTGAGTGTACACGTGTGTGCACACTCATCTTCAATTCCTCAAGAGCCAAAGTCACTTTTTGTCTTTATTTTATAGAACGCCTAGACCTCACCTCCTTTGAATGACCACTGTACGAACGGTTTATGTAAAGGCGCTGGCGGAAACCCTAGGCAACATGGCTGCACGCCCTGTTCCCAGCGACCGAGTGACAGGGAACGACAGGCAAACAGACTGCGCTTTAGGGCCAACTCAGACGACCTGTCCCGACAGGGAAGGCCCGGCCCCGTCTGTCCTCTGGAGCTGCCCCCCCCCCCCCGGGGCCCCCGGCCGGCCAGGGGCGCTGCCCGAAGGGGAGTGGGTTTGGTGGTAAGAACACCGGCTGGGAAGCTCCCGGCAGCTCCCGCGGCTGCTCCCTGTGGGATTCTCTACGTGAATGTGTTTACTCACGGTAGCAAAAGTTGAATAAAAGAGTTTCTTCTCCAACTTATTTCCCTCTGTCAACGTCATTTCAAAAGCTGAAAAGGAAACCCTGATGTTATGAACTGAGACGCTGGACCAGGGAGCCCTTTCCTGTGGGGACAGGAAACGGCCTCAGAGCCCCAAGCACCTGCACAAAGGTCGCCTGGGAAGGCCCCACCCCCAGCTCAGTCCGGGGGTGGGGGGAGGTGGGGGTGGGGGGAAACCGTGTGAAAGGCGGAATGCGAACTCTGCGCAGTCGCAGAGGATCGGAGGCTGCCCGTAAAGTGCACTGTAAAAGTATTAAAAAACCGTAACAGCCCTGGCGGATGGGGCTCCGTGGATCGAGCACCGGCCTGCGAACCAAAGGGTCGCCGTTGGATTCCCAGGCAGGACACAGGCCTGGGCTGCAGGCCAGGCCCCCCGTAGGGGGTGCGCGAGAGGCAACCACACACTGATGTCTCTGTCTTTGTCCTTCTCGTCCTCTCTAAAAATGTTTAAAAAACAGTAAAAGTAAAAGCAATGACGACGGATAAAAAGCAGCGCTGCGGTGGCGCTGGGCCGTCTTTCTCTGGCAGCCGCACCGGGAGCCGCATGTCCTCGGGGAGGGAGAGCAGGGGCCAGGGCCAGGCCTCACCGACGCCCAGCAGCCGCGCATGCTCTGCGCGGCCCCGTCCGGACGCCTCCCAAGTGCCATTTCACCCGCCCCAGGCCGGCAGGAGCCCCGAGGAGGCCACTTTGCCGCGGATGGATACCCTAAAGGGCACACGCCTGCCCAGGGCTCCCGTCTTCTCAACGGGCAACGCGGAGCCAATGGACGACCCTCCCCCAGGGCTGAGTAAACGGCCACGTGGCGACTGGGAATCCTGGGCATCCTGGGACGGAGCCGCCGCGCCGGCGGCGAGGACGGAGAGCAGGGCGGCAGCCAGCACGTGGCCTCTGCCCGGCTCCCACGGTCCGGCGCGCCTGCGCCCCTTGCGCCACGCCGCCGGTTCCGTGCGCAGGCCCCACCCAGCCGAGGGGAGTCTCTTCACCCAGGCCCCGGAGGGGAACTCGGTTTCTCAGGAGCCGACTTGTTTCAAGTCAGGGACCGGCTGGGCCTTGTGTCTGCGCGCCAGGGCCTGACGGTCCCCCAGGATGACATACCCTCGGTCCTGGCACCAACGGGAAGGCCGATCATTTCAACAGAATTCGTGAGCGAGCAACTAGAATCTGGAGCTCTACAAAGAGCCAGGTTAGAAATACTGAGAACCCCAACCAGCTCTGCCCAGGATGGTGCCTAATGCAGAGCCCAAGGCCCGGCCCACCGGGCCCGGCAGCTCCCCCCGCCCCCGGCACAGCCGTACCTGCGTTCACGGACTCTTTGGCCATCATTGCCACAATTTTAGAGTTGCTGGCTATTTTTTCTGCGCACCGGATGGCTTCTTCGACCAGCTTCTCAACAGGAAAAACTTTGCTTACGAGACCTGGACACGAAACCGCGAACACAAGGACACGGCACTGGTTACGCTTCCCTCTGCGTGACGCTGACCGGTGGAGAGCAGAGGACTTCCCGGGTGTTAACGAGGGGCTGAGGCAACGTGTCCCCAAGGCGGGGTGGTGCGTGCCACGGCCACTCGCCTCGGACAGAGGCAGGTCACCGAGCGGTGGGGACAGCCTGCGCCTGCCGGGCCTGAGACCCCAACCCCCAGTGCGTGGGAAATGACACGGTTTACCATCGTTCTGTGACCTGTGTGTTTCGGCTGCTCCTTTTACATGTGGGATGTCAGCAAAGGTGGCAGTCCCCTGGGGTGTCAGGACCCCCAAAAGAACTGTGCTGACTGCCTGCAGCAGCACTGGAGGCAGGAGGCGACCCTTCCCCCTCCCCACTCCCTGCAAGGGGCTCCTCAGGGCAGCCCTGGCCGTACCTGCTGCCTTGGCTTCCTGGGCTGAGATCCGGTCACCAGTGAGGACCATCTCCATGGCCAGAGACTTCCCAACAGCGCGGGTCAGCCTCTGGGTGCCCCCTGCACCTGCGGGGGCAGGAGGCTGCGGTCACAGCCGGCTCTGTGGCCAGTGGGGGCCACGAAGCCGACGCCCCACTGGCAAGCTCTGAAGGGCCGATGGTGGGCCTCTTGGGTGGGGCGAAGCGGCCTCCATCCCCCCCGCCGTGCTCCGCCCCCCCACCTGGCACCTCCGTCCCCCACATCAGCGCCTCTCCTACGGGAATCAGAATCTAGGCAGATGCATGGAGCTTGCTGCTTCCAGCCTCAGACTCGGCGCGGGCAGGGGGTGGTGCCCCTCTGATCCAACCTGCTTCTCTCTGAGGGCAGGGCCCGGCCTCCTGGGACCCTCTGAGTGTGCCCTTCTGCCCCTGCACTCTGCCGGCCCACGGCGCTCCCCGCAGCTGGAACGGGGGCGGTCTGCCCAGCCACCTGCCCTACGGGACCCCGGGCACAAGGGGACCACCGAGGGTGACACCCACAATGCAGCGGACGCAGGCGCTGCCTCGCTGAAGCGCAGTCTGACCTTGGGCGCCGGGGTAGGACGAGCCCAGGGGTTGGCAGCACCTGGGTGGGGCTGCCCTGGCCTGCAGCCCTCGGAACCGTTCCCCTGCCGCCCCTCCCGGCACAGGAGGCGCCCTGGGCTCAGAGGCCTTGTGGGGGCGTGAACCCGGAACCCTGCCCAGCCGACCCCAGGGCCGAGGTCACACTGCTCGCCCACTGCTGCTGTTGGCCTCCCCGCGTGGGAGTCGGATTTCCTGCCCTGCTAGGCTTGGGGGAGGCCATCGGCCTGCTCTGGTCACTGGAACACGAGCAGATGTGACACGTGTCACCTCTGGGCACAAGGTCTCAGGGCTGGCCCTTGGTCACCCTGTTCCAAGCTTGTAACCTACATGGACTCTAAGCAAGTGTGTGGTCAGCCCTTCCTACCAACACCTGACCTGGGATCTGGCCGTCACCCAGAGCTCCGCGACCTCCCTGGCCATCTCTGAGTGTGTTGTGACCACTCATGCCGAGTGTGCTGGAGGCAGAAGCAGCACTGCCTGCCCAGCGCTGCCCTGAAAACCCCGCCGCCTCTCGTCACATGGAAAGGCCCTCCGCCCCTGAGAGGCGGGCAGACTCCGGGGAAGGACCTGAGCAGCGTGTGCCAGAGACGCCACCTCTCTTCACCTGGGATGGTTCCCAGTAGGATTTCCGGCTGGCCAAACTGGGCTTTCTCTCCGGCGTAAATGATGTCACACATCATAGCAAGTTCACAGCCGCCACCAAGCTGCAAAACATGAGGCGTCATCAGGGGAACCCACGCTGACATCGCTCTATTTGCTTGAGTAGTCTAGTAAAATGAAACACGGCGGGGGGCACAGCAAAGGCCGCCACGGTGGTGCAGTCCGTTACGCGTTCCCATGAGCGACCCACAAGTGGCTAACGCTGCCTGACCTTCCTGCAAAGGGCCAGAGAGCAACCCTTCTCGCTTCACCGGTCCTTAGGTCTCTACTGCAGAACCTGAGCAGACCAGCTGGCAGGGCTGCTCCCGTCAGCGTTCCTTGCTGGCCCTGGCTCACCCCACGGGGGCTTTGTTAAGGAGTCACAAGCTGAAACGTGACTTCTCCGCAGGCCCTGCCGGCCCCGCACCTCTGAGCAGCCTGCACACCTGCAAGAGACCCCGAAGCACCACAGAGGACATGGAGCTTCAGCGGCAGCTCAAGAGGCTCAAGGTGCGGCTCACGTCGCAGAGTCGATTAAGCTGCACAAAAGCAAACAAGTGTGCCCTTCACATAGGCGAGCGCGGATCGCTCCGGGGGTCACGGGGCTCCTCGTGGTCACAGGGTGGGGGGTGGTCCAGTGACAACACGGGGGCCAAACACCTCCTCTCCTCACAGTCCTTGGCTCTTCAGCGTCGAGTGGGAAGGGGCCGAGAGCCGGCCTGGGAACTCCACGGAGGCCTTCCCAAAGCGACACCAGTTGTGCGTCGCGCCGATAGGTGCGGTCCCGAAGGGGTCGGAGAGGGAGGCACGGGCCGACTCACCGCGTAGCCATTGACAGCGGCTATGATTGGCTTCTTGACCTGGGAGACTCGGTCCCAGTGGCTCAGGAACCTGCTGGAGTAACAGCCCTGGAAGGTTTGGTTCTGCATCTCCTTGATGTCGGCTCCAGCTGGTGGGAACAAGGCCCCATTACCATGGCGCAGAGACCCCCATGGGCAGCTCCTGCGCACAGCTGGATGTGGCAATATGCTGTGACCCGTGTTCACAGAGGTGCCATGGAGGGACCACGGGGCAAGAGGAGGCCCCGAGGGGGACTCAGAGAAGGCGGGACTTCTCCATTAGTGACTCGAGCCCTCTGCGCACAGCACCGGTGGGTGCAGGGCCTGGGCCGCTGGGAGGGTGCTCCCTCTGCTGGCAGGGCAGCCCATCCGGGCAGTTCCCCAGCCCTTCCCACGCCCCAAGTACATGAACCCCAAGTTGTACGAGCTTTTCTGCCACCACCTCACAGGGGTAAGTCTGCCTGCAGCGCCACACACGACGGATGTGGCCCCGGCCAGACCTGGGAGACCTGCGGCCACGCTGCCCACCACACCTGCGAACGCCTTGTCCCCGCCCGTGAGGACGATGGCCCCCACGGCCGTGTCCTCCTCGAAGGCCTCCAGCGCCCGGTTCAGCTCCGTGATAAGCCCGTTGCAGAGTGCGTTGAGTGCTTTGGGCCGGTTCAGTTGGATCAGCCCCACGTTGCAGTTCTTCCCCTTCTTTTCTGCGATGATGTACTCAAAGTGAGCCGCTGGGGCAAGACAAGAAAAGATTTTCTTATTCGTTTCGGCACCAAACTATAGGGGGACGTATCTCCGTCAGTGGACAGAGTGACCCTGACCAGTCCCCAGCGGCGGCAGCACGCGCCTGTTCATATGGGGGGCCTTTGCCTCCCTCTCTGGGGCTCCGGGCCGGCGAGGGCGTGCTGCGGAGCACCTGGACTAACATGTCAAGTGCTTGGGGGCTGCTTGCCGGTCACGAGGCCCGCGCGCGACTGCTGGTCGCACAGCAGAGTGCAGATGCGGGGGGTCAAAGAGAGCTTGGGGTCAAACCGACACGACTTGGTACTTGGATCGTGAACCCGGGACAGGGGTTAGGGAGGAGGGCTGGGCAGGGCTCGACGACGCTGCAGGTGGGCGGGGAAGGGCGCGGGCTGGCAGGACCCGACGACGACCACCACTACTTCCAGGGGCAACATCTGCGAGGCGCAGCCCCCACCGAGTCCCCCGGGCTCGGCAAGCGCGGTGCTGCGGCGGCCTCACCCGCACTCACCCGAGGCGAAGGGGCGCCGCGCCGCGCAGCCGACTGTGGGGAGCAGCGGGCCGCAGGCCCGAGACAGCAGGACGAACCGGGCGGCCATGGTGCTCGGGGACGATTGGCCCCGCCCGTCGCCCGCCGCCCGCGAAGCCTTACTCGCTGCGCGCGGCACGGCCCTCCCCGCTCGCAGGCAGGCTTCACGAGACCGCGCGCGCGTACGCACGCATCGCGAGATCAGGCGGAAGGCGGAAGGGGCGTGGCGAGACCGGGCCGGGCCCCGAGCCGGAGGGCCAGGGCACGGGGGCGGAAGGTGGGTTGGGAGTGTCAGACCCCCGCCCCAGGGAGCGGCTGCCGGCTGACGCCGAGTGCTAGGCAATAGCCCTGAGACTTCTGAGCGCGAGCCCGTCGGGCCCCGCCGTATCGTAGGGGTCGGTCCGCGCGTGGACTGCGCGCCACCTGCCTAGGGCCGCGCCGCTTCCCACCTGAGACCGCCCGCCCGAGCCCGGGCCTCAGCGCCCACGGGGGATCCTCGGCCACTCGGGCGGGCCCGGGTCCGGGACGCCCGATGTTGCCGGAGGGGGCCCCTAGCCAGCGCCGCGACCCCACCCCGCGGCGCCGCCGCCTTTCCTCTCCAGACCAGTGGTGGGCGCTCGCTCGGCCCTCGGCCCTGGCCCCACCTTTTTCCCAGGTGTCTGCGGAGCAGGAACTTGACCCCGGCTTCCCAGGTGACGGCCTCTGGCCACACCTGGGGTTCCCGGAGGCCGGGTTTGGGGGCTGCACGCAGGACCTCGGGCCCCTACGTGCAAACACGGAGCGCTCAGTGCCGGCGGGACTCGGCCTGCGGCTCTGGGATCCGCTCTCAGGGTGGAAGCTCCGCCCCAGCATTCCACAGTCCTACCCTGCCGGTACGAGCCTAACTGCGCTTCGGAGAGTTGGGTGCTGCGACAAGGAAAAGAGAAACGCCCCATTTTCTTGTTCCCTTGCCTGTCTGTCTCGTGTTGCGGAGGCCCAGGGTGACTGAGGAACGTTAAACCATTCACATCACCCTGAAACGTATTTATCGGTCTAAACCGAACAGGCGTGAAGCACCGCCCTGATTCTTTACACTGGCAGCTAGACAGCTGTCACTACTAGATTATGAATGGCTTCGTTTTTTACAAAAACAAGATTTTACTGAATTTTAACAATGAAACACTTTAAATTATTTTCATATATAACTTTAAAATGTTTGGACATGTATCATCAGGCCCCCGTTTGAGTTCTTGCCCAGGTTCTGCAAATGCTGGGACAGGGATGAAAGATGCCACCTGTGGACAGAAAGCAAAACTGATATTCTTAGGTAAGCAGTAAAGAAATTCAAGCCAGAAGTTAACATTCAGCAAAACTCAGTACTAAGCCGAGGCTAGAGTGAAGACATTTTCATGCAGAGAAAAGCATTACCAACAGCCCTCAGAAAGGAGCCTCTGTGTTCGCGTGACCGGCGCCCAGAGTGAAGTGGTGCCGACAGAAAGGAAGGTTTTTCTGACACCCTGGGGCTGGCCCTGAGGTCGGAGGGCTGCGGTCCTCCCTGAAGTCGTTTAGGGACAAAAACACGTGCGTGACAAAGCAACAGTACACAAATTGGACTTGACCAAAATTAAAAACCTTTGTGTTTCAAAGGACAAAATGAAGAGAGTGCAGTGTGGTCACGAGTGGAGAGGAGGGAGGTGGGTGAATGGAGGCGGAAGAGGCTGTGAGGGCGATCAATGGTAACGGAGAAAATACAATAAAAATGAACTATTAGGAGAAAGAAAGTGAAGGCCCACAGACTGAGAAAATTTCTGCAAATCATATTGTGTTTCGAATACATAAATAACACTCAACTCCATAATAAGAGACAAACCAATTAAAAAAGGGCAAAGGATTGAACAAACATTTCCCTGATAAAGACATACAAATGCCTAATAAGCACAGGAAAGGGGCTCAGCATCCGTAGCCATCAGGGAAGTGTGAATCGAGACCACAGTGAGACGCCACTGCACGCCTGCCAGGGCGGCCACAGGCCAGGAGCCAGGCAGCGCTACGAGGGTGCGGGCGTGGAGAAACTGGAGCCCGCAGGCCCTGCCACGCGGCACGTAACAGGACGCAAGCACTTCGGCAAACAGCATGAAACAGCATGGCAGTTCCTCGGAAGGTAAACAGAATTACCCCGCACCTCGGTGCCTAAGAGCATTGAACACGTATGTCTGCACAGAACTGTATGTGAACGTTCAGAGCAGCATTATTCCTAACAGCCAAAAGTGGGACAGATCTGTCCATGGGCTGACGAGTGGGCGAACAAAACGTGAGTCCTGGGCATCGGGAAAAGCCTGTGACTTTGTGCGGGTCGGGCTGAAACAAGGTGTGTCCTCGGTGTGTTGCCACTGCTGCTGGTGCCCTCAGACACAGGAAAGGGGTCCCACGCTGGCCATGGCCACGGGAGTCTTGCGTTTCGGAGCACGTGGCGCCGGGACAACGGACCCAGCCGCCGGTCGGAGTGCCGGTCGCAGCTCTGGTCTGGTCCAGGCAGCGGTGCAGCATCGGCGGGACACAGGGGCCTGTGGGCCCCTTGCACCTGCTCGGGCCTCTGGTGCTCCCTCCCCAGCTGCCAGAGCTGCTGCCGTCTCTCAGGCCACACAGTTAGCATGGCAACTTCAGTTGTGTAACTGCTTTATCTCCAACCAGCCCCTGCTGGCACCCAAGGCTCCAACCCAGGTGTGGCCAGGTGTGGGTGGGACCAGGGCATTTTCACCCTTTAGCTTGTGTGGGCCACATGGGGGGATGGGTGGGGCAGGCACGCAGCCGAGCAGTCTCTGCTCCCCTAGAGTAGGGTGGTGTCCACCAACAAGAGCCCCGGCGGGCGCGGCTCAGTGGATGGCGGTTCAGCTCCGGTCACGGATGTGCCTGGGTTGCCAACTCACGGTGATCAAGTGCCTGAGGTGGGCATCACCCAATACCGTGTCTAGGGCTCGTCGCTGGGTGGCCGCTGGCTGACTCTAAACAGACAGGAAAGCCAAAACCACGACACAGGGCAGTTTCAAAGGTGACGGAGCCAGCCCCCGGACAGCAGCACTGCCATCAAAAGGTGTGGCAGCCGCCAGCCGCGTGGAGGGAGGGCTGCGGTCCGATGCAGACGGGCTGTTTGGAGCAGCTGAGGCCCCCGCAAGGAGGCCCCCTTCATTGTGCAAAAAAGCGCAGAGGTGTGCGCTGATTTCAGGGGACTCCCTTGCCCTGGGAGTCCCTGCGAGAGACCCAGAGACCAGCGGCCAGTTTCCTACGCTCAGGAAAGTCCCCTGTGGTAGACCAGACACCTGGGACGTTGGCAGCAGCCCAGTGACCCCCTGGGCTTAGCTAAACTTGGGGGGAGCACGGCCCAGGCCTATAGGGAATCTCTGAGGAGGGACCCCCCCCAGCCAGACTGCTTCAGACAGGAATGAGGTTCCCCCTACAAGGAGGGCTGCCCCCTTTGCATACTGGCGACAGTAGGGCAGGGCGGCTGCCGTCCAGGTACGCTGTTTCACGGGGTCGCCAGCGGGCCCTTCCTCCTCTGCTGTGGGATGTCAGGCCGAGTGAGAAAGCCAGGGGTCGGGTCTCTCAGGTCCAGAGCTGCGGCTGGGAGGTGGCGCTGCTGAACCGGGACCCACCAGTGGGGACCTTCCCGAGACGTCGTGCTACTTTTGCATCAGCCCGGTGACCTGCAGCGGTCCAGTGGGCGCCTCCGGATGCGAGGTGCGTTTCGCAGGACCAGCACAGGGCGCCCTGGAAGCTCTGGCCGCCTCGAGCGCGAGCCCCGTGAACCCCGGTGCACCCCGGTGCGTCGGCGAGCTCCCGCAGAGGAGGGCGCAGTGCGGGGCGGGGAGCGAGGAGCCCAGGGCCACCGGTCCAGCGAGCAGCACACAAGCCCCCATCCGCCGCTGCCGGGGCACCCCGACCTGTTTGGTGACTTCTGTGACCAGCTACAGAAACTGCCGAGAGTCAGGAGCGCGGCCAGCCCGCGGCGGGCGTTCCGCAGGAACGTTCAGACAGCCTCGGGCGCAGGCAGCGCGCTCCCCACGTCCGTCTCTGGAAGTGCACGCGTCCCCGGCACGCACGTTTCGCTGGAGCAACATGTTTTCTGCCTCCCCCCCGACCTCCGTGAAGGCTGGGGCTTTGTCCAGTGCTCATCCAGGCCTCAGCGCCTTGGATGACCGGAATGGGCATCTTGGTCACAGGCTTAGGCAGTACTCAGATTCCCAAAGCCACATCTTGCGGGCTCCCGCCCGGCCCCGCCCCGCCCACGGCCTCGCCCCGCCTCGCGACGCCCCGCCCCGCCCACTTCCCGGCCCCGCCCCACGTCCCCCGCCTACTTCTGCTCCACTCTGCGCAACCTGCACCACGGAGCGCCGGGGACGCGCGGGGACTGTCCGGGACGGCGTGATGAAGTCGAGTGACGGCAGCGCGGAGGCCCCGGGTCGCGGCCTGCGGGTGCTGGTGGTGGGCGCCGGCATCGCGGGGCTGGGCGCCGCGCAGAGGCTCTGCCGCCACCCGGCCTTCCCGCATGTGAGGGTCCTGGAGGCCACGGCCCGCGCCGGAGGCCGCATCCGCTCGGAGCGCAGCTTTGGTAACGGTCTCCCGCGAACTCCTTCCCGGATCCCTACCTGGGCCGCCCGACCTCTCCCGCCTCCTGGCCTGGCCTGCGCCCGGGGTTAACCAACCCAGAAGCCTGGCCTGCCCGAGTGAACCCCGGCCGCGCCCCAGCTAATTACCCAAGTCCACCGGTTCCCGGAAACCCAGCTGCCCGTCGCTGGCAGGGCTGGCCCTGTGGGAAGGCAGCCTAGGCCCGTACCCACTGCCGCCTGTGTGAGTCCCGGGCCCGGCTTCTGCACTCAGGCCACCTCCTCTAGAGTCCTCCGCAGGCAGGTGTAGGCCAGCGCCCCGGCCTAGGTGTTCCCCTTAAACTACGCCGTGGGGTGAGGGACTGTGGTCTTCAGGGACCTGTGGCCCTTGGGCTGGTTTTCAGAGCCTATCTGGGAAGGGCAGAGCTGGCTGTGGCCCACGAGAAGGGCTGAGGGGTCATCTCTGTGGGCTCACAGTGGCCTCTCTGTCCCCTCTCAGGCGGTGTGGTGGAGGTGGGCGCCCATTGGATCCACGGGCCCTCCCTGGGCAACCCCGTCTTCCAACTGGCTGCCAAGTACGGGCTGCTGGGGGACAAGGAGCTGTCGGAGGAGAACCAGCAGGTCGAGACCGGAGGCCACGTGGGCCTGCCCTCCGTGTCCTACGCCAGCTCCGGGGTGAGGGTGGGCCCTGAGCTGGTGGCCAAGATGGGCAGTCTGTTCTACAGCCTCATAGACCAGTCCCGGGAGTTCCTGCACGCGGCGGAGGCCCCCACGCCCAGTGTCGGGGAGTACCTCAGGAAGGAGATCCGTCGGCTCGCGGCCCGCTGGGCCGGGGATGAGGAGGCCACGAAGCTCAAGCTGGCCATTCTGAACAACTTCTTCAACACCGAGTGCTGTGTGAACGGCACCCACAGCTTGGACCTGGTGGCCCTCGGGCCCTTCGGGGAGTACAGGGTGCTGCCGGGGCTGGACTGCCCCATCCCTGGGTGCGCTGCCCCCCCCGCCGCTGCAGGGGGGCTTCGGGAGGCAGGGGAGCGATGGGGGGGACAGGGCAGCCCTTTGTGTCCCCTTTTCAGAGAGCTGGCCATTTGTCTCCTGGTTTTGCTCACTTAAGGAAAAGGAAACAATTATTTTCAAGGAACAGTGATTAAAAGAAGGAAACCCACCTTCTGATGCTTTCTTTCCCTGTGTTTCCAAGGCCCCTTAGGTGCTGAGCACTGTGTGAGGGCCCTTCCCTGTAGTTGGGTGGCCGTCCTCATGCCAGGCACCTGGACGGCAGTCCCAGGATGGTCCCGCTGGGCTCTCCCTGGGGCCCCCCAGGGCCCTGCATGGGGGAGGGCCTTGGTGAGTCAGGCTGCTTGGAACCAGGGCTCTGGACAGACGGGGGATCCTTGAGTCTATTGCCTGTTTAACCGTCCCATTAGCCAAGAGGCTGCAGCTCCTGGGGGCCGTTCCAGGTCTCACCTGCAGGCAGGTCCTCTAACCAACAACACGCTGTCTCCCCCAGGGGCTACCAAGGCCTCACGAACTGCTTGGCGGCCTCCCTGCCCCAGGGCACGATGGTGTTTAACAAGCCTGTGAAGACGGTCCACTGGAACGGGTCCTTCCAGGAAGCCGGGTCCCCCGGGGAGACGTTCCCAGTGCTGGTGGAGTGTGGGGACGGCAGCCGCTTCCCGGCACATCACGTGGTCCTCACCGTGCCCTTGGGTAAGGCCCCTCTCTGAGCCCGAGTTTCCTTCCTTCCCTGCCTCGTCTCTGACTTTCCTCCACCCCAGCTGGCCCTGGGGCTTCCTTGGCTCCTGAACTTCTAAGTTGTGGACAGAATTACTCTATTGTGTTTTGGAGCAGTCACATGCTTTGCAAATAGGAGTTTCACTGAGAAAAGGCAAGTCAGCTGTTCTCTCCTTTGGGGGTAGCTTATGGAAGGTGGGGAGCCTTCCAGAAGGAAGAAAGGACGGAGGTCCACCTGGGAGACAGCATGAAAGCCACGCCGCGGGGTTAGGTCCCAGCCGTCATCAGGAAGGGGTCAAGCGCCTGATCCGTTTAATTCTGGAGCCGATGTTCTAGACAGAGGCTTTGAGCAGGGTTTGCCTGTGTTACCTCACTTGCTCCCCAGGCAGCCTGAGGACTTACCTGGCCCCAACCCACTTGACAAATGTCAACAGAGATAAGTCATCTCATTGCCCAAATTCACAAAGCTACCAGGTGCCGGAGCTGATGCGAGATGCAGAGCCTCCCCTACGTCGCAAAGTGGAACCATCCAGACGCGTTAACCTGTCCTGCTGTCCTGTTGGCCTTTTCTTTCTTCCCTTTCCTCTTTCCTTCTCAATCTTTTTCTTTTTAAGGATTTTATTTACTTATTTTTAGAGAGGGGGAAGGGAAGGAGAAAGAGGGAGAGAAAAATCGACATGAGATAAAAACATCCACCGGTTATCGCTCGCATGTGCTCCAACCGGGGGGCCTGGCCCAGCACCCAGGCGTGACTCCCAACCAGGAAGTGAGCCGGCGACTTCCCCTTTGTGGGACAGCGCCCAGGCAGCCGAGCCCGCTGGCCACAGCCGGCGACGTTTCTGCCACTCTTGCCGCCCCGGCGCGCACAGACCCGTCACAGCCTGCACCCCCGGCCCCGACGGCGTTGCCTGTGCCGGGCCGGCGGAGCCTCCTGAGCCCCTGCTGCGATCGGGGGAGTGTGCTGTTGTGCCTGTCCCGTCGTGCTTGCCCTGCACAGCCGCCCCGAGTGCTCTTGTGTGCGAGTGTCATTGCTCAGTATGGACGGGCACGTAGGTTGTTCTTACTTTTCTGTGTCACACGACGTTTTACGTGTGCGCTTAAGCACCCTCGTGCAGACGTGCCTGTGGGGCAAGTCCAGGAGCAGGACCCGCGCTGAGGATGCAGACCGCGGGGGTGGCTGTGGCTGGCGCGGCGCCCCCGGCCCCTCCGCTGCCCCGCCGCGTCCTGTGGGCTGGCCATCCTTACCTCCCTGACTCGCACGTTTTGCTTGTCTTAAGACATTGGCTTCTGCTGTGAAGGTTTCATCCTGTTTTTGTTTGAGGTCGGGCAAATTTACTTTCCCTCCAGGCAGATTAGGTTTTTGTAGGCTCTTAAGGCTTGTGCCTCTCACGGCTTCTCCCAGCAGATCCCGGGCTGTGGTTTGCTGACTTTGTGGAGTGGCAGAGGGATCAGGCGTGAGACTCCCTGCGGAGCACTTGGGGTGGGGCCGTGCAGGCGGCCTCGGGGCCTTTGGCGCCCCGGCACTACAGTGCTGCTGCCCGAGGCTGCGCCCCGGCGGCCGCCTCTCGTGGGTCCCGAGCGGGCGGGGCATGTTGGGAGGCCTCTGACTCTGTGTACGGGGTCAGGGTGGGTTCCTGAGGTTGTTGATCCCAGCTGAGGAGACTCATGGGGTGTAAGTCGAGTCCAATTATGAATTCCAGGTTTTCTTAAAGAACATCTGGACACCTTCTTCGAGCCGCCACTGCCCACAGAGAAGGCAGAGGCGGTCAGGAGAATGGGCTTTGGCACCAACAATAAGATCTTCCTGGAGTTTGAGGAGCCCTTCTGGGAGCCAGGCTGCCAGCGCATCCAGGTGGTGTGGGAGGACACGTCGCCTCTGGAGGACGCTGCCCCCGCGCTGCAGGACACCTGGGTCAAGAAGCTGATTGGCTTCTGGGTCCTGCCTCCCTTCGGGTACGTCCGCTCCCCGCTCTGCTGAGGAAGCCTCAGGCGTGAGCACTGAGGGGGCGGGCTCGTCGGCCGTGGTTTTCTTGAGGCCCCAGCAGTGTGTCGATTCACTGCGAGGGGTCTGGAGGATGGAATGGTGGGGGTCCCGAGGGTGCCCCAGGTTGCCGATGGTAGACAGACACCCTGGGCCTCACCCCTGTGGGACTGACAGGCCCGCTGTGTGCAGCCTGTCAGCGTCGCTGGGGCCAGAGTGTGGTGGGTGGAAGGCACGTTCAGTGAGTGAGGAAGCATTTGCTGAAATTCCCGGGCAGCTGGGCCCCGTTGGTTACAGAAGTCTGAAACCTGGACGTGACCGTAACTGGGAGGCAGCACTTAAACCCGATGCAATAACGGAAAAGCACAGCCTCGTAATCTGGGCCCATAGACTCTCAGGTGAAGACTGAGCTGTGCGGCCAGACGCACCGCGTAAGTGAAGCCGCGTACGTGGGCTTGGTGCCAACCCAGAAATGAGAATGCAAACCATGAGGGGGCGGCGAGGGGCTGATTTTTCTGGCAAGATTAAAAGACACAGGTAGCGTGTGTGGTCAGTCGGCAGATAGGATCCCAGGTTTCTGTGCAGAGACATGGGGAGCCTGGGGACCCCTGTCTGGCGGACACAGGGTAAGAAAGGAAGTGTAGGCTCGTCCCCAGCAGCCACGAGAGCGGGGTGCTCCTCCATCCTGTAAGGGGACCCTGTGTGTCTCCTTGATGCTGAAGACCACGCTGACGCCTGGGGTTTGGACACGTGCCTGGGGCTGTGGGCGGGCGGCGGCTCGGCCACCTGCTCCAGGCCCGGCTCTGCGGCTGCGCTCTGTTGGGAACGACGGTCCCGGTGACCCTGGGGGTCTTCACTGTCCAGTGTGATGCCAGGACCCCCCGGAGCGTGTGGCCCACGCTTGCAGTGCCCTGGCCCGGGGAAGGCCCCCGGGGAACCCTGTGTGTGGGTGCCATTGGCTCCCCACAAGGGGGCTGGGTCCTCGCTAAGAGGCCCCGTGACAGCGCAGGGCTGGGCCCCATGCGGGTTGTCTCAGAGGGCGTTCTCCGTGCAGGTCTGCCCACGTCCTCTGCGGGTTCATCGCCGGCCTCGAGTCCGAGTTCATGGAGACGCTGCCGGAGGAGGAAGTGCTGCAGACCCTGACCCGCATGCTTCGCAGGGTGACAGGTACTCGCCACGCGCAGCCGCGGCTCTGCCCGTGCTCCTTGGTGGCTGGCTTCTGAGCAGGACCCAAGCTTCCTGGCCGGGAAGAGCTGGGCTCGCCTCTGTGAATCTCTGGGACCGCCCTTCCTCACATCCCTGGGGTCACTTTTCTGGGTTCTTATTTCTGAGGAACTGAAATGGCTCGGCAAGTGCGTTCCACTTCTTTCTTCTAAAATGTGCCACCAAAACAAGTACCGCCGTCCTTAGTCAGGGCTGCACGGCGAGGCTGCGGAGGCTTGGCAGAGCACAGAGACCTCCGCAGTCACGCGGCGGGAGGACGCAGCCCCGTGGGCGGTGGCGTCCTGAGTGGGGCAGAGCAGGTGAGACGGGGGGAGCCTCTCGTTCGTGCCCTCCCAGGCTTGGCTTTCTTCCCGGGCACGCTCTTTCGTTTTAAACTGTTCAGTCTTGAAAACGCAGGCCCCCCCGCAGACGTGCGGTGGGAGTCCCGGGTTCACAGTGGCATCTCTGTGGTTCAGGGAACCCGCAGCTTCCTGCGCCCAAGAGTGTGCTGAGGACTCGCTGGCACAGCGCCCCGTACTCCCGGGGCTCCTACAGCTACGTGGCCGTGGGCAGCACCGGGGACGACGTGGACCTGCTGGCTGAGCCCTTGCCTGCGGACAGAGAGAAGGCCCAGGTACGGCGGAGCCCTGGGTGGGCCGTGCCCCCGGGAGCCGCTGGGACACAAGGGCGTGTGGGTGGGGCTGGGACCCCCGAGCCTCAGGTCCCTTTTCTTTTTGAAATTAAGAATAATTTTAAAATGTATTGCTTTCGCCAGACCTACACACACACATAGCAGAAGGCATCAAAGAATTGTAGAGCCATCTAACGTAGTATCAAAGTGGAGGAGGCGGGCTGTTCTAGCTGACTGCTCTCTACACTTACACACCCAAAGAACAGTTTCTGCCGCCACTTATTTTAAGTCCTCACCTGAGAATATATTTATTGATTTTAGAGAGAGAGGAAGGGGCAGGAAGAGAGAGAGAGAGCGCGAGCGGGCAATTGGTTGCCTCCTGACGGGGGATAGAACCCGTAACCTTTTGGTGTTCGGGACAGACACTCCAAGGACCTGAGCCACCCAGACAGGGCTCTGCCACCACCTTCTGTAAAACATTTAATTGTGGAAAACGTCAAAGGTATAAAAAAGCAGGCAGAACCTTTGGGTTCCGGGCATGCGGACCCCCCGCTCCACCCATGCTGCTGTCCGCTTGTCCTGTGGGGACATTTTACTGCACATCTCTGAGAGGTGTGGGACAACCTCTTAAAATACGTAACTAAAACACTGTTATCACACTTAAAATTAACAATTTAATAATCAAACACACACGTGGCCCCGCACTCAGTGCCCCGGCTCCTCTCTCCCGCTTGTCTGACGGATGCTGTCACCTCTGAATCTCCCGGTGCAGCCTTACCGACCGACTTCTCACGCTGGCACCGAAGGGCTTAGCTCTCTCCCACCCTGTGCCCGCCCGGCGCTCTGATGGGGGGTCCTCGCGTGCCCTTGCTTGCTCTGAGCCGCACCGACGCCTGAGCGGCACCGCGTGGTTTCTCCCCTGCCCATGGGTAGGTGTGGGTGCGTGTGCCTCGGTGAGCAAGCGTGCGGAAGTGAGTCGAGTGTGTGTGAACACACACGTGTGTTTGCGTGATAATCTGGGAGTGTGAGCAAGTGTGTACAGGCACATGTGTGAGCAAGCCTGCGCGGGGCTTTTTCCTGGATGCTGCTTTGTCCGGGCTCTGGCAGCTGCGTCACCCCGGGCGCGGGAGCCTGTCAGCTTCAGCTCCCGAGCCGCGCCGAGCCTGTCCCCGCCTGCCCTGGACCCTGGCTCGCTCATGCTCTGTCTACCCCGTGTCCTCTGGGCCCCCCGGGCCCACCCGGGCCCTGTCTTCTTCCGCCAGCACCCGGTGCTCCCTGCGCCTCTCTCCTGTCCTGGACTGTGCGTCCTGTGTTCTACGTCATGTCTTGGTTCGCTCCTTTACTTTGTTGGGCCATTGATCCCAGTAACCTCCTGAGAAAGGGGTGCATGGAAGGTCTGTTTTTAGAGAAAGTTTGCCTGTGTGAAAACGCCTTTTTTCTACTCTTCCAGTTCAGGTGTCCAGTCCTGATCACTAAGCAACAAACCAGCCCAAGACCCAGTGGGGGGAAGGACAGATCTCATAGGCGGGCCCCGTGGGATGGTTTGTTTCTGCCCCTTGGTGTCTGGGGCCTCAGCGGGAAGACACGCCCCGCAAGGGGTGACTCAAGGCCCTGGCTTGGGTCACCCGAGCCTCCTCTCACAGGACGCCCCGGGCGGGGATGACCGAAGGCTCAGCTGGCCCGGACGCTGCCTAGAGCTCTTCGCCGTGGCTTCCCTGTGTGGCCTGGGCTTCCTTGCAGCACGCTGGCCCCAGGGCCTGTGCACAGCCTCCTGTGACCAAGCTTGGGAGTCAGAAGGTGCCACGCTGCCCGGATTCCAGGGGCAGGGCAGACCCCACCTTTCTCCAGGAGCTTACAGCCTCGGAAAGCCCACCTCTCGCATAAAATCCTAGTCTGAGTCCCACCCTCAGGTTTGGAACCTTCTCCAGCGTTGCTGTCAGGAAGTCCAGAGCCACTTGGCGTCCTCTCTTCCTTGTGTCCCATGTTCCAAGGTCCTAGGAGGCTTGAAAGAGCACGAGGCTCCCACACCCCACCCGCCGCCCCCGCGGCCGGTGTCCGCCCCTCTCCCACGGCTCCCCTGGGGCCCCTCAGTCAGCGGCGAAGTCCTTGTGAGTTAAGTCATCTTCTCTCTGCTTTTCTTCTTTTATCTTTTTCTCAGATTTCTGCTGTTTCGGTGCTGGACCTCTGGACTGGTCTTTGAATGTTCTGATCTTTTTTTCTCCTGATTTCCATCTCCATTTTCCCCGTCTGCGTGTAGGGGGATGTTCTCAGCGTTGCCTCCCAGACAGACCTTCTGCTGTGTCTTCTGTCATGACGTCATGTTTAATCCCAAGGGCTTGCTGTCTGAGGCCCGTTTCCAGGAGCAGCCCCTGCTCTTGTTTTGTGGCCACATCAGGGTGTGGAATCAGGTGAAGCACAAAGCCACACCCTCACTATCAGCTCTGCTGCTGCACGTGGAACAGCCTGACCCCTGGTACCCTATTCTGACCCCTCGCTTCTCTGCAGCTCCAGGTCCTGTTCGCGGGAGAAGCCACGCATCGAACATTTTACTCCACGACACACGGGGCTCTACTGTCTGGCTGGAGGGAGGCCGACCGGCTCATCGCTCTGCGGGACCGCCAGGCGCAGCTGCTGCGGCCCAGGCTCTGAGCCCGCCCGCTCGCTCGCTCAGTGCTGGCGGAGGCTCTCGCCATCCTGTCCTCGGTTCGGCCTGACCGCACCCTAGGACGTACTGTAGCCGAGGCCAGCGCCCTCGCGTTTTTCACGGCTGTCGCTGGGTCTGGCCAGGGCCGCACGGGAGCCGAGTGGGAGCTCCTCCCGGAGGAGTGGGACACGGGTGCCCCGGCTGCGGATGCTGCGGGCCCCACATAAAGCGAGTGAAAGCCTCCGGGTCAGAGTCATCCTTACAGCCAGGGCTGCAGCGTCTGTGGCTCCCGTCTCCGACGTGCCCCAGGCCCAGGGCCAGGCCCAGAGCTCTGTGCCCCGGGTAGGGGGCCCGCCTGCCTACGCATCCCTGGACTCGGGGTGCGGTTGCGGCCTCTTGTCTGGGGCGTCCTCAGGGGTTCCTGAGTCCTCCTCGCTGGTGGCCAGGGCCACGGCGTAGCCAACAGACCTGCTGCTGTTCACCTACAGCTGCTCGGTGGGCTGGGCAGGGAGCTCTCTCTCCATGTGTCCCATGTGAGTGGAGAGACCCCAGGGCCCCAGAGGTGCTCTGGCCTCGGGTTTCTGGAAGAAGAGAGTGAACCATGAGACATCGCGCTGAGGGACAGGGTAGCTGTGTGTTTCAGGGTGTGTGTGGGGGGCCCATGGGGCAGTGTCAGGGTGAGTGTTAGCATAGAGCCTTTCCTCCTGTCTGGGGTTGTGTGGCCCTTCCGAGGGGTCTCCCCTGCCCGGAGTTGTGTGTCCACTGCCTTGTGTCACTGGCCTGGTTTTGCTCAGACAGCTGCAAGTCAGCTGTGAGGAATCCAGAATTAGCTTTATGGTCCTAGGGCTATGAACCAATGCAGCTCCCATCGGGTGCCCAGGTCTGCATTGTTGATGCCCATAGTTTCATCCAGCCACGCGCCTTGGGGAGACATTTCTGCATCCCGAGAGGCCAAAGCAGGCCCCAGGGGCTGGGACTGGGCCCTCAGCGGTGTCCGATGCACTAGGAGGCCAGAAGCCAACTGGCAGGACTTGTCTATGGTGGTGGGTGCTCATCTCAACCCCAAGAAGGTGTGGCGCTGAGTGTTAGGAGGTTTAAACCAGCAAGACCACGGCAATGACGTCTTCGTCCCGAGAAACCGAGCACGTTGGATTTCTAAGAGCTTGTTTCAAAAATTCCACTAGAGTAATGGCCCTATAACCCAGTGCGCGGCTGAGTAGTTGCCTACTAGGTCACACGGTGTCACCTTCCGGCTCTCTGTGTAATAACAGCAGCCAGTACTGGCAGAGGGCTTGTTACATTGAAACCTGGAGTACTTAAGAAAGAAAAGCAGGATAATACACTTACACGGTAAGTTTAAAGTATTTGAGAACTTTACCAAGTTTGTAAAAAGGGATCCAACAGGCCCGCGGGAGTCCCGGGGCCCCGGCCCGGCCCGGCCCGGCCCCGCCCCCCTGAGCGTGGTCCGACGCCCGAGGCAGCGTTGTGCGCACGCGCAGGCCGTACGCGGAACCTTGGAGGGCCGGAACCTTTGGGCGGGGTTGCGGCCTCGGCGGAGAGCTCCGTAGGGAGAGCGGGTCCGCAACCAGAGCGAGTCCGTAGCGGGAGCGGCTCCCCGCGCTGCGCGGCGCGATGAGGCTGACTCCGCGCGTGCTGTGCAGCGCCGTCCGGGCCGCCTGGCGGGAGAGCTTCCCCTTGGGCGGTCGCGACGTGGCGCGCTGGTTCCCGGGCCACATGGCCAAAGGTGAGGTCCTGGCGGGAGGGGGCGGTGTCCCGGCCGTCGGCTCCACTCAGGTCGCCCGCGAGCGCGGCTCGGGGGTGACCCGGGATGACCTGATCCCTGCTTCCCGATTCCCAGCAAGCCCCTTCTGCCACTTTATTCCCTGAAGATTCAGTTTCCACATCTGTTTTTAAAAAGAAATAAGATTCCTGAATAATACTTTGAAGACTAAAGGAACTCATGGTAGTAAAGCACTTTGCAAGTTGTATTCAGTTATTGTCCCTGCAGCACCTTAAAATGTGTTGTCACTGCTTGTCTTCTGTCTGAACCTCTCTGGGAGTTTCTTAGTGTTTGTCAAAAATTGATCCTTCGAGCACGTCTAGGACCGATCCAGCTCCTCTCCGAGTCGTGGTAGCCCCAGCCCCCGGGGTCGCTCAGATTCATCCTAAATAGTGACCCAGTGCCTTCCACGCCAGGCTGCCGCCCAGTGCCGCGCAGGCGTGCGCCGGGGTCGGGTGGGAAGAAGGGGCGAGACGTTTGAGGGTGTGCGTGAGTGGCAGTGCTGCCGTGGGAGGGGAGGCCGAGCAGTGGTGTCACCGTCCCTGGGTCGAAGGCTGCGGGGCCGCGGGGCTGGTGTAGGGGGCGGGCGGAAGAGCTTTGTTACTTTTGCGGTGTGTGCTGTTCCCGGTTATGGGTGAGTTGAGTGCAGCTCAGGTTGGCTCTCACAGCATCATCTCCACGTAGTACCGAGGCCCAAGGAGTTGGTTAATTGGCGTTTTCTACTTCTTAGCCCAGGCGAAGGCCCACAGGGGTTAAGTCTCCCCCCGGGAGGCACCAGAGCCCTGGCTGCCCCTCAGGCAGGGCGCCCGTGTGAGCCTGATGGAGGGGCCCCGTGGGTGGTTTCCAGTTGTCTTTCCGTAGAGCACGTCACTCAGGTGCACTGTTTTTAGGGAGTTTGTGGTGGCGTGTCATTTTGGACTGGTCAGCTGGAATGTTCTAGCGCCCTGGAAAGGCCATGGGCCCCTGGCCTACGACGTTCTGTTTTCCAGGGCTGAAGAAGATGCAAAGCAGCCTGAGGCTGGTGGACTGCGTCATCGAGGTCCACGACGCCCGGATATCCTTTGCTGGTTGTGATGTGTGGCCTTCGTCCCCACTCCTGGCGCGGGGCTCCTAAAATCCTTGGCACTTCCTGAGTGAAGAGAGAGATAGGAGTGTCTTTTACGTTGACGAGGCAACGTTGGAAAGACCCTCCAGATGGGGCTGGTGTCGGGGATCCCACCTGTCACAGGGGGGGCGGGGGGCGGGTCGGTGGTACGTGCAGGCCCGATGCCGTGGCCCCCAGGAGAGGAGGGGCTGGAGGTGGAATTGGTCGTTGTGGCCGAGGATTTTATCCCTCTTGCCCGTGGGATGAGCCTCCTTGGAACCCCGAGGGGGTGGAGCTGGGAGGGCGAGCATGTGGAGGTTTGGGGGGCTGGCGCCCCCGAGGTGGCGTGGAAGCCCCACCCCTTCCCCAGGCCTCCTCTGCGTCTCTCCCACAGGTTTGCCTGTGCGTCCTTACAGTGAGTGCATGATCCGCTGCGTGGAACGTCCCTCTGAGTTCTCTGAGCCACTCTGGCAACTTGCCGAGCCTGGGGAGGGGGTCATGGGATTGGGTCACAGCCTGGACTTGGGACTGGAGTCCGAGGTGGGGGCGGGGGGGGGCAGCTGAGCCCTGAACCTCGGGGGCCTGATACTGCGTCTAGGTAGGGTTGGGTTGAATGGTGGGACAGCCAGTTGGTGTTGTGGCTTGGGGACCCCTGTGGGAATTGGGTGCAGAGTTGTGGTGGCACCGAGACGCCCTGTGCCTCAATCGCGCAGAAGCATCCCTGGCCTGCTCCCTTGGTCACTGCCCCCGCCCCCGGCCGGTCCATCAGCCGCCACGCGGCCAGCAGCCTTGCCTGCCGTGGCTACAGGCTTTAAAGCCGCGGTTCTCACGCCTTCGCACCCATTGAAACTGCCCGAGGAGGCTTTGTAAGAAGACCAGCCTGGGCCCCTTCCCAGACCAGTTCATCAGATTCTCTGGCGAAGGGCCAGGTCCTCGCTTTGGAAGCTCCCCATCGACGCGCCGGTGGTGTGATTTGTCTTGGGCCTCTGCCCATCGGGCCCAAGCCTGGGGTCACCAGGTGGGATGTGAAACCTGATTTCCCCCTGTGCCCAAGGCACGGGTCAGCAAGAAGTGGTGTTCTTGTTCATTAAGAGTTTACTTCTCAGACCTTGTTCTATTTGAGTTAAGTTTAGATTCTCCTTTTGTGATGGCAGTTTTGGTTTGAGAGTTGTTGCGATGCCAGCTCTAGACTGGAGGATGAGGGACAATTTTTGGCCTTTCAAAGGCTCGTGGGTACTTCTGTAATAAAGGATTGAATTTCTATGTTGTAGATAAATGCATCAGTTCATATACCACGTTGGTCAGAGGTGTTTACTGGCAGTTGTATGTCTGATCATGATAAAACCTGTCGCTGTTGTTGAGCGCACCGTGATGAGAGGGCACCTTCGGTCCCCAGGCATTCTGTCTCTCATCTAGGACGTGGCAAGAAGCCCTGACTTCCGAGGCCCTACGAGGTGGCCTGGAGGCTTTGGTGTCTCCAGTGAGCACAGGATTGCCTCACCCCTGGGGGAAGGGTGCGGTTTCCGGAAGGTCCCCTGGTTGTGTGGGTGAGGACGCAGCAGGTAACTGGTGCCTGGAGGCAGGCCTGCCAGACTCAGTCCGAGGTGGACACCAGGAGGGGACCGAGTGCTCGGAAGTCAAAGGTCAAGGCCTCGGGCGCTGCCTGGGTCAGTGTCGCCCGAGGCTCCTGGCCGAGAGGATGGACCGCCCGGCGCCGGGAGTAGACCGGTGGGCCTTCAGCAATGGTCTCCATGAGGGGCGGGGGGACGCTGTCTCCTCAGCGGCGGGGCGGTTCGAGTAGGGACCCATGAGGACTTGACTTCATGGGTGGTACCTATTCGAGTTACCAGATCATTCGTTTTGAACTTTTGTGTTTGGGCAACCAAACAGCCGTCTCCTTACAAACCTCCCACTGAGCTTTGTCTTCTGGTTTTGCCCCCGTCGTCCCCGTTTGAGCAGCCGAGTGGGAGCCCTCTCGTCTGCCGGAAGCGTGACGGGGCTCCGGGGCTGCCAGGGCGGGGCGCGCGGGGGCTGGAGTCTTGGCTCCAGACACGCAGGGCTGCCTGGTGTGGGACTCCTTCTGAGGGTGCCGTCGGGCAAGAAGGCCGCATACACCAGTGGGCTGGTAACAGCTCCGAAGGAATTTTTGCCTTAATTTTGCCACATCCCACTTTCAGGCCGAAACCCTCTGTTCCAGGAAACCCTTGGGATTAAGCCTCACTTGCTCGTCCTCAACAAAATGGACCTGGCTGACCTGAAGGAGCAGCAGGTGAGGCTCTTCCCAGCCGCGTCGGCACTGGGCTCTCGGCTCTGCAGACGGTCGCTGCTGAGACAGCCCCGCGTCCGCTCGCCCGGGGCGCTGCCCAGCACGGCGCCCTTGGTCTGCGTGCGGTGTGTGAGCGACGGACCAGTCATTCGGAGTGTGTCTCCCAGGGCGGCGCCGGGCTGTGCTGCCGGAGCCCCGGGCCCGCGGTGGCCTCGCTCCGTGTGATGCCGGGCGCTAGGGACGTGGCTCTTGCGGCTGCGGAACCGACGTCAGTGTTTTCTTTCATTTTAATTAGTTCGTGTTTCATTGGCTGCAAGAGGCTGCAGGTCCCGTGTGATGGCTGCTGCCCCGCGTCCACACCCCTGTTTCACGCCTCCCAGGCCCATGGCCCGGCCTGCAGGTGGCCTTCTGCCCACCGTGTGATCTGGAAGGTGGGGGAGCCCCCGAGGAGAGAACGGGCTTCTCCCGAGCCGGCGGGGCTGCAGGCCTTCTCCCTCGGGTCCCGGCGGGGCCGGGTTCCGGAGAGCGGCTGTGAGTGTGTGTCGCCGCGTCTGCTCTGTGGTCACTGTGGTCACATCCTTTGTGAAGAGTCCCTGTTAGTGTCTTTTGAGTTCCTTTTTATTTCTAGTTGTGATGCAGAGATTTTCCTTTTACTGCAGCAACAAGAATGCTTTTCAGGTTTCTTGGTACATTGGAGTTGCTTAAGCCCCAAGCACAGCCTCTACCACAGGTTTCCAGGGAAATGTCACGTGCTGAACCACAAGAGGTGTGTGTTCGTGGAGAATCCCACACTGGCGCCTCCCGGCACAGCCCTGCCGGTCGGTTTCGTCCCTCCTGCTGGGCGAAGGCTCTCCGTGGCGTCCTCAGCTGAGCCTCGAGTGTTACCCGCGGTTGCTTCTGCCCTTAGACGCTCACTTTTGGAACGTGCTGGGCACACTGAGGTTGCCCAGTCGGGCACCGCGGGGCTGCTCTCAGGTGCTGCCTCACCAGGTCCTGGAGGAGAGGGGGGGGCCGAGCCCCCTGCGTGGCTCCCTGTGTGCAGTCGGGGCACCTGTGTGAGCTTACGCACTTCCGAGTGTGGCTTCAGATACGTCTGTTTTGGCCTCTCCCTTCATCTGCCTCATTAAAATGAGTAACTGAAACACACAACTGACTTAGAGTGACCTTTTGGTTCCTTTAAGCAGCAGCCGTGTTCAAACAGTCCAGTGCCAGTTCTAACAAAAATGATGCGTGTGCTGGTTTCACTGAACGCTAAGACCAGTAAGCTCATATGAGCCTTAACGTCCGGGTTTTTAAAGCGCTCCCTGTACTTTGTGATGAGATTGGCTTCCAGCCTCAAAGGGAGCTCATTTTGTGCAGGACCATCAGGATGCACCGGGGACGGGAAGACCAAAGGAGGGCGGAGCCGTGAATCTCAGTGCTGGATGGAGCCTCAGAGTGACATGGTTGGGCCTCATCTCAGGAGACGGCCTGGGGTCCCCAGAGGGTGGGCCGAGTCTGCTGAGTGCTCGTCCCCGCGGAGGCCGGGCCTCCCCGTCCTCACGGAGCAGCCGCCCTGGGCCTGCGCAGCCCCCTCTGCCCCGTCGTCCCTCCAGCCCCCCCGCCCCGGGGCTCCGCGCCCCAGTGCACGCTGGGCAGGCTCAGGTCCTGGGACTTCAGTGTGCTGCGCCCCCCTTTTTATCTGGTATTTAAAGTGGAGCCCTGGCTGTGGAGGCTCGGTGGACTGAGCGCTGGCCTGTGAACCAGAAGGGGGTCCGTTCCTTCCCAGTCGGGGCACAGGCCTGGGCTGCGGGCCAGGTCCCCAGCAGGGGGCGCGCGAGAAGCAGCCAGTCGATATTTCTGTTCCTTTTTCCCTCCCTTCCGTTCTCTCTAAAATTAAATAAATGCAATCTAAAAATAAATAAAATACAATATAAATGTCTCTTTCAGAAAATTATACAACACTTGGAAGGGCAAGGCCTAAAAAATGTCATTTTTACCAACTGTGTCAAGGATGAAAACATCAAGCAGGTAGGAAGGTTTCCTGTTTTACACTTGAATGCTTCTGTTGAAGGACATTGGGGAAACATTGCACAACGTCCCCCGGTTTCCCAAGAGGCTGAGCTTTGGAGACAGTCCGGGTTTGCCGGCGCCCTGAGCAGACGGGCCTGCACGGGCGTCGGAGGGAGCAGGGCCCGGCTGGCACGGCACCCGAGCTGAGATGCAGGGCGGCCTTTCAAGAGTCTAGAACTTATTTTTGCTGCTTGGATTTGGAGAATTGCACTGGGTGGTGTGCCTCTTTGTTAGAAGGGGCTGCCGTCACCCCCCCGGGGGCGCTGTCTGCTCGTCCCTGGTGGGGGGCGGCACAGCACAGGGCCAGGCGGCCCCCGGCCCCCGGAGCGCAGCCGCGGGCGCCGTGTCCAGAAACGGCGGCAGGGGCGGGGGCGGTTTCCCCGGGAGAACATCTTGTGGGGTCTGTTGCAGGTCATCCCCGCGGTCACGGAACTGGTTCGGAGCAGCTACCGCTACCACCGAGGGGAGGTCAGTTGGGAGCCCGTGCGGGCCCTGGGACAGCCCCTGCCGCTCAGGAGCCCGAGGCTCAGCCGCTTAACCCCCGGGCCGCCTGGGCCTTGGCGCGAGCGGGAGCCCCGCGCCCGTGTGCCCGGCTGCGGGAAGGCTGGCGGGTCCCGGCGGGGGCCTGCCTTGCCCTCGGGGGGCCTGGGCTGCGGGGTCCCGTGCGCAGGCCGGCGGGTCCCGGCGGGGCTCTGGTGCCCCTGACGGCGGCACTTCTGCCTCCGCAGAGTGTGGAGCTCTGCATCATGGTGATCGGCGTCCCCAACGTGGGCAAGTCCTCGCTCATCAACTCGCTCAGGAGGCAGCACCTCAGGAAAGGTAGGGCCGGGCCGAGGCCCTTGGTTGCCGCCTCGTCCGTCCTCGGGCCGCGTCCTGGGGCCGGTCCCTCCGCCCAGGGCCCCGCCGGCAGCCTGAGGCACATCCCCCCAGGGACGCCTTGAACGGACTCTCTTCTCTCTCTGTTTGATGTGCTGATGGCCTTTCTAAGCCTCGGGTGTGGAAGCCGCCCCCAACGCCTTGCAGGCCCGTGCTCCCCGGCTTGCGCAGGCTCTGATTCCGAGCCACACGCAGGTGTTCGCAGTCCTCTGCCTGTGCCTTTCCCTTTCTTCATGAAACATTTTGACGTTTAAGGCCACGTCTGCGTGGGGTCCTAGCAGGTTCCCACATGCTGCGCTGCTTGTTCTGTAGCCAGTACGCCCGGTGTGTTTCGTGTGCATGTGACAGCCCCTGTCTGTCCTGCAGGAAAAGCCACCCGGGTGGGCGGCGAGCCTGGGATCACGAGGGCTGTGATGTCCAGAATCCAGGTAGGGCCAGGCCCTTGGCCCTGGGCTCCGCACACACCAACGGGCGCCCCCCTTGGCCCTCCCCTCAGTCTCCACTCCCACTGAGCGGCTGCCGCGTGCTGGGCCCTGCAGACCCGTGGGGGGGGGGCATGCTTGTTGCGTTTGCAGGGGGCGGGCCGAGCACAGAGGAGCGCCACCTGCCCCAGGCCACCCAGCGGTCAGGCCCGAGCCTCAGCCACAGCTCAGTGGCTCCCGCTCTCCCTTCCTCCTGGGAGGAGGAGGTGGGGCCGTGGGGTGGCTGTTCCCGGCATCTCCTGCCGGGGTGGGGGGGCCACCCCGCAGGAGGCCTGGTGGGAGGGGCTGCTCAGGTGTCCCGAGCGGCGACCTGACTGCCCTGTGCCCGCAGGTGTGTGAGCGGCCGCTGATGTTCCTGCTGGACACTCCTGGGGTGCTGGCTCCTCGGATCGAGAGCGTGGAGACGGGCCTGAAGCTGGCCCTGTGTGGTGAGCCTCCCCCAGGGCCCCGCCGGCCACGCCGGCCCTCAGCGCTGTGCCTCGTGCAGATGGGCAGAGCGGTCAGGCTTGGGGCACGGCCTTCCCCTTGCAGCCTCGGGCCGAGGGCGAGGATGAGGGCGCGCTCACCCTGGCTGCCTGTTTAGGGACCGTGCTGGACCACCTGGTAGGGGAGGAGACCCTGGCCGACTACCTTCTCTACACCCTCAACAGGCACCAGCTGTTCGGGTGAGTGCGGGGCGGGGGCCCTCTCTCCTCTCGCGACGCAGCTGAAGGAGGCGCGCAGTTGGGGCATTGCGGGCAGCAGCCTGCCTGTCATTTGAAGTGTATCGTTCGATTCGTTTTTGCACACGGGTGCACCTGTGAAGCTGCTTTGCACCCCCGTCCCCCCTGTTCCCGGGACCCTCTGCCTCTGTCCTCTGCTGGGGCTTCCCGTGAAGGGACCGTGCGGTGCGTCGATTGTCTCCGACGTGTCCGTGACGGGGCGTGTCCGTGGGGGGCATCCCGGGTCCCTGCCAAGCAGCCGTTCGCTGTGCAGACACCGTTGTGTGTGGTCACCTGTGAGTGGGCCACGCGCTGTGTTCTTCATCACCTTGAGGACAGCAGTCGGTTTTACTGATTCTCCCCGAAGAACCAGCTTTGGGTTTCCGGGATTTTGCGTCTTGTCTTCTGTTTTTCAGAACCCTGTCGTGACGACTGTTCCATCGTCGTCTCCTCATTTCTGCTGTGCGCTTGCTCCGTGTTTATTCCGTTTCCGAGAGAGGGTCCTGAAGTCTCTGACTGGGTGTCTGTTTTCCGTGCAGTGTGTCAGCTTTTGCTCTGCTGTGCTGTGCGGAGACCTTGCCGTGGCGATGTCCTCTCGCCGATTGGATGCCTGTGTCATTGACGCGACCTTGTTCACCCTTCAGAACGTTCTCTGTCCTGGCATCTGCTTGTCGGGTGCCAACTTCGCCTCTCCAGCCGGGCCCGCGCTGGGGCCTTCCCCTTTGGGCACATTCATGTCTTTATGGCAAACCCTCCAGGTCCTTCTTTCTTGCCCCTTCTCTGTGTCCCTGTCTGTCTCTCTGGCTGTTTTTTAGATTAATTGGCCACAGTTTATGATGTCATTGTATTTGGAGCAGGTGCCTTGCGGTTCGCAGACCCTCTGAGTGATGCCCTAACACGTGACGTGCAGTGAGGCCGTGTCCTGAGTCTGTTTCCGTCTTCGTCCTGACCTTCCGGTCCCCCTTCTGCATGGCTTATAAACCCCGGCGCACGGCGACCGCTTTTGCTTCTGCCGAGATGCACAGGGCGAGAAGGGACAGAGCCGCCCGCCGGCCGTTGCTCTGCTGGGCGCTGCCCCGTCCCTCGGTGGGCGCGGCGTCCCGGGTGCTGCGTCCAGGAGGGTTTCCTCCAGCGTTGAGTGGCGTGGCGCTGACAGATTCCTCCAGAGCGGAGTTGTCTGAGGGGGACTTGACCTCACTGCCGTTTCTGGAAGAGTTCGCCCTGTGTGTGGAGCTCTGGAGGGACAGGCCTCCCCTAGGGAGGCGGCGGCCCCCACCCGGTCTCCGGCGACAGGGCTGTGCTCGTGCCCGCCCGCCCTTAGGCGCGCCCCTGGCCGCTCGCCTGGGCAGCTGGGGTGGCCGGTCCGGGCGCGCCCTTCCTCAGCCCGCCGAGTCCTCGGCTCTGTCGGCGGCCTTTGGCCTTCGTCGGATGTGGGTGACGTGCAGCTGTCGATTTTCCCCAGTTCTGTCCGCTCAGGACGGCAGTCACCGCGTGTCGGCGCGGCCCTGTTCCCGCCCGGCGTCTCCGTAGAGCTCACCCTGCAGGTTCGGTGGGCGTCCTGTTTCACATCTTGGATGTCTCCACTTCGCACGTCTGTGAGCGGCGGTCAGAGTAGCCGGTCTGGCGGCTCTGCCAACTGACCCCGACTTCTGGCGGCGTCCCCCACGGCGCTGGGGAACTGAGCGTGTTCCTGGCCTGGATGGCGGGCATTTCGAGGCTTAGCTTTTTGGTGACAGGTGTCTTTATATTGTGTAGAATCTCTGGGCTTTGTGCTGGGACAGCTGCTTGGAGACAGTGGGCCCTTCCGGGCCTGTGCGCCTGGAGCAGCGCCCGCGCAGCAGCCGTGGGCCTGAGGCCGCCGGGGCCTCCGCCCTCCCCGCCGGTTCCTCTCCTTGCTGACCCTCCTCTGCGGGGCATCTGGGGCGGCACCTGCGGCCTCTGGACTCTCTCGGACTCTCGTGTGGCCTCGAGCTGCCTGCTCTCTGGCGCCGCCCTCTCCTTGGGCTCTGCAGGGCCTCCAGGCACCGCGCTGGGCTGCTGAGGGCATCCTAAGGTCTGGTGCCTTGAAAACCACTGTTTTGTGCATGTGTGGCTGTTGCAGAGGAGGCTGTTCCAGTCCCTTTTACTCTGTTTTGCATGGAAGTGGGACTTCAGGTGTCATTTTCGGGCTTTAATTTTGGAAGTCAGTGTGGACCTTAGAGGCTCTGTGGGCCCTGGACCGCGTGGCGGCCGCCGCGTCCCGCAGTGGGCGGGTCTCGGGTGTGTGGTGGTGACGGTGTCCTGGGGCCTGTGGTCTCCCAGGGCTGGGTTCTTGGAATTGTGGGACAGGGGCGTCGGCAGCCGCTCTAAGGGGACCCCACTCCTTGGGACCCAGGCAACGCGCACTGTGGCCTCGGGAAGCGCCGGTTGGGCCGTCGCGGCAGGCAGGGCAGGGGCGGGGGCTGCCGTGCACCCTGGGGGGGGGCGGTGGCTCTGCACGGACCGCAGGCTGTGCCAGGTGGGGCGGACGACGGCCGTGAGCGGCGGGTGCGCCGCAGCCACGGGCTGCAGTGGGGCAGCGGGTCACAGCCACGCCGGGCGACTGCGTCGGCCACGGGCCCTCGTGGGGTCTAGCCCCCGCCCCCCGCCGGCACCAGGGCCACTCAGACCCACGAGGGTGCCGCCGGCTGGCGGCTGCCGTGCAGGTACGTGCAGCACTACGGCTTGGGCGAGGCCTGTGACGACGTGGCAAGTGTGCTGAAGCGCGTGGCCGTGCGGCTGGGGAAGACGCGGAGGGTGAAGGTGCTGACCGGCACAGGTGAGGCGCCAGGCTCGGGGGCCGCCCCTTGAGCGGGCCCGGCTGTCGGGGGACGACGTCGTGGGGACACCCGCCCACCCTGGGAGTGAAGGTTTTGGGAGGGGGGCTCTTGCCCAGCCCCCCGGCCGTGGACCCGTGTGGTGCCGGGCACATGGGGTGCCCGCCCCTTCCCCGCAGCCCCGGGAGGCTTGCTCCGTCCACTCCCTCCTGCGGAGACCCTGCGCCCGAGCCCACAGAGCCCCGCTTAGGGCCCGTCCTGAGGGGCGGGGGCGGGGGCTCCCCTCACCAGACCCGTCCTCCCCAGGGAGCGTGAACGTCCTGCAGCCCGACTACAGCGCAGCGGCCCACGACCTCCTCCGGACCTTCCGCCGCGGGCTGCTGGGCCCCGTGATGCTGGACCGGGACGTCCTGCAGGGCGCCCCCCGCTAGGCCCTGCCCGCCCGCGGCCCCCGGGCGTGCCGCGTTGCGACCGTCGCGTCCGGCTTGACGCCTGGGCCGCCTTCTCCAGAAGCTCCCTGCGGTCACTGTGCACCAGGTCTCTCCCCGGGAGCGGGCTGCGTCCCTGCCGCGGCACAGCCAGGCCGGTCCCCGCTTCCCGGGGACGGAGCCCGGGGTGTGGACGTCCGCGGCGTGCCTGGCCTGGCGGGGACACTTGCGCTCAGGTCTCGTACGGAGGGGCCAGCGTTGTCCAGGAAGGAGGAGCTGCGGCCTGTCATTTAAAGGCGTGAAACTGGAAGCCCGTCTGTTGCTGCTGCATTCACTGTGCGCCCGCAGCCCCGCGGGCCCCCGTGCCGGGGCCCGGCACCGAGGAGAAGGGGCGCGTGTCCCGGTTGGCAGCTGAGGGCTGCGGGGTCACCCTGGGTCCTGGAATGAGGAGGAGCCGTTGCCAGCACAGTGTTTATTTCACAACATGACTGAAATGCACACACACACGCAAACAGGAGGCCCGGGGCCTGGCTGTCCCCTCGGTACCCTCGGTACCGGGTACTGGCCGAAGGTGTCTCTGGTGTGGTCGGCTGGGACCCGGGGCTCCCACTGCTTCTGAGCACCTTCTAGCTGACAGGATGGTGGCACCGCCCTGAGGCCCCTCCGGCACTTGTTGCTCCTGAAGGGGCCCCGGGGCAGGGAAATGGCAGAGAAGGGCAGGCGGCTTTCCGGCTCGTAGCCAGGCTGCTCTGTGCCTGGAGGTGGCCTGACCTCTGTGGAGTGGCCAGGGACGTCCTTCCTGCAGGTGCCCCTCTAGGTCCTTCTGTCGTGTGGCTTCCCGCACCCCACAAGCTAACCCCCCCAAGATGCCCCGCCCTCCTGAGCTCCTGCCGGAACCCTGAGCCCACGGGGGCAGGGACTCACAGATTCAGGGCTATTCCAAACACCAGAGACACAGGCAGAAGTGGGGGTGACATCCCATCGCCCCGGAGCAGGTCATGCTGGGGGCATCTGGGTGGCCGAATGCAGCCAGGCCGGGCCTGCGTGCCCGGGCCCTCGGGAGGAACAGCCGCCCCGGGAGCTGAGGGAGCTGCCTGCCTGGGCCTCCCTGTGCGAGATGCGACCCCCTGCCGCCTGCATGTCGAGTGGCCAGAGGGTCGCGCTGCCTCTGCGGCCCCGGCCTGCCGGTCTTCGGTAGCTTCGAGCTTCATCTGGAATGGGAGGAGAGGCAGCCGGGCTCACTGCGCCGCAGGGACGCTGGCAGTGTGGACACGAGGCCGCCAGGAGCTCCCGTCTCAAGGAAAGCACTCAGGCCGGAGTCCTGCCGATAGCCAGGAGAGACCTCCCCTGACCAGAGCCTCTGCAGGCGACCAGAGGGCAGGCTCCCGGTGGGGAGTCAGCCAAGTCCAAAGGCCTCGCGGTCTGGGGAGCGAGGGTGCGTTTTGGAGGTTCCAGCCAAGCACCAAGGAGGTGGAGTCCCCGGGAGCCGGGCCTGCGAAGCTGTCCGGCCTCAGGATGCGGTGGGCTCAGAGCCGGAGGGCGGGCAGAGAGCTGAGACTCGGGCTGAGCTCACCAACAGGCTGGAGGCCTGAGGGGAGCGGGCCGCTGGCTGCCCAGGAGGCAGAGGGCTGGCCCTGTCCGTAGGAGTGTTGGGGGCCATAGGCAAACCCTGTGTTTCCTCGGAACTCGGGGGCCCAGGCACCCCAGGTGGTGGTGCAGGGCTCCACGCCACCTCTCTGCCACCTCCTGCTGGGCGACGCTCTCGCCCTGTGTTTGCTGGGTGCTGGTGCCGCCTGCGACTTCTGCCAGTGCCTGCCCGTGCCGGGGGGTCCCGGGTCTGGCTAGGGTCCCACCCTCCTCCATCCGCACCACAGCCTCCCCGTCCGAGGGTGCTGCCCCCTGGGGTGCTGCCCCCCGTCTGCTGGGACTGCAGCTGGCTGGCTGGCCAGGGAGGGCTCCTCAGTGGGGGTGGCTGTTACCATTGCCGAGTGCAGGCCAGGGCTCTGGGAATGGAGAGCTCGAAGTTTAGACGGAATGTTGGTTTTTCCCAAGTAGATCCCCAAAACAGGTGACTTGTTCAAGTCAGAGCACAGCGGCTGCAAGGCTGTGGGTCCCCAGAGCATCTGCAGGGCCCGGGGCCGGGGGTGGGGGGTGTTCCTGGGAAGCTGTCCACGGAACCACAGTTGGGCCGTGTCTCTGGGCTCAGGTCCACAGACGGGTCAGCACCAGACGCTCTGTCAGGCAGTGTGTGGCCTGAGTCCCCTGGCAGCCACGTGGGGGAGGCCAGTGCCACCCTCGCCTGTGCCTTTGCCTCTGCCTGGTGGTCAGCACTGTCCACACCTGAGTGTCCAGGGTGCGTTCAGAGGAGACAGTGGCCTGAGCAGCCTGGTCTTGGCACCTGGTGGCGGGGGGTGGGGGGGGGCGACCCGCGAGTGTTGGGTGGGCACCCTGGAGCCCATGGGCCCCGCCCCCTGGTCCCTGGTCAGATGGGAGTGGGGAGGCTGGGGGAGGGGCTGGGGCAGGACGGTGAGCAGCCGGCGGCCCCCGGGTCGCCTCAAGAGGCTGAAGGGCCTGCTGGGACTGGCGGATCCACCCAGGCAGCCTCTGGGCTCGGGGGCCGCACGGGCGGGTGGCCGATCCACGCGAGCCCAGCCGGACCTAGGGCTGCAGCAGCCCCAGGGCGCTGAGGGCACCGCCGAGCAGCAGGCAGAGGCGCAGGCCGCACGCGGGCCCCGCGTCCGACGTCCAGGCCCGGTAGCTGTAGACGCCGGTCCTGTTGCCTTCGGGGGCCGCGTCCTCGTCCTCCGAGCCGCTCTCCCAGGGGCCTAGGACCCTCCGCCCGCCCGAGCCCGCCGCCAGGCCCGCTGCGGCCCCGGCTGCCGCCCCCGCCGCCGCCATGCGCAGGGACGAGCCCGAGTAGCGCGGCGCCGGCCTCGTGCGCGCCCGGGGGGCCCCGCGCGCGCCCCCGCGCAGCCCTCCGCGGGCGCTGCCGCGGGCCCCGCCGCGACCGCCCTTGGCCTCGCCGCCGTCGCACAGGAAGGCGGCGGCCAGCAGCAGAGCCCAGCAGGTCGCGGGCATCCAGTTCATGCTCCCGGGGCAGTACCTGCGGGCAGACAGAGGGCCCGGCATGAGCGCGCGAGCAGCAGCGCGCTGCGCAGGGGCGGGGCTCGGTCCGCGAGAGGACCCCCGCCCGGGCCGGGGTGGGGGGTGGGGCGGCACGAGGGCTTTGAAGGTCTCCGGGGTGGGGACTCAGGCCTGGGCGGGGCGGGGCCGAGGGGCAGCGCCCGGCACGGAGGGGGCAGAGGAGGGGGCAGAGCGAGGGTGGTGAGCGCCGGCGACAGGGGCCGGGAGGCCAGGAGTGGGCTCCCCGGCTCTGGGAGGGCCCGCCAGCCACGCCAGGGTGGCGGTTGCGTTCGGAGGCCGCAGTCGCTGGGACCGAGGGTCTCCGCGGGCCCAGATCCGGATCCAGAGAAAGGACCGCGGGCGCCTTCGCCCTGCTCTCCCGGACCGGCCTCGCGCCTCGGGCGCGAGGTCAGATCGGGGAGGACGCGCGGCCGGGGACACGGTGGACTCCGCCCCTGCAGGCAGGGGCCCAGGGGACGGTTTTGACCGACCCCGGCCTGCGCTCCACCCTCTCCCGGCCGCCTGGCCCCGCAGCTGGCATGGGGGACAGGGACCAGGGCGGGACGCAGGCCCGGCTTCCGGAGCCGCGAGTGATCTGGGCAGCGGCTCGACCCCCACCCTCCGCCCGGAGCTCCGAGCCCTCAGCGGTGCCTCCAGCACCAGCCTCGGGCCGGATCCTGCCGCCTGGCCTTACCCTCCACCGGCCTCGGTCGGAACCGCGGGCCGGAGCGGCCGCTCCAAGGGCTGCAGCCGAGCGGAAAGACGCGGGCTGTGGCAGAGACCCTCCGCCCGAGCGCGGAGCGGCGGAGCGGGGATCCTGCGCGAGGCCTCGGCTCTAGCATCGGGGGCGGGCAGACGCGAAGGCTCGTCCCTCGGGAGCCGGGAAGGGAGGAGGCAGAGGCTGTGCCAGGAACTCGCGCCCCGCTCCCTTTCCAGCGACGCCGTCCTCCCTCCCACCCTCCGCGCTTCCCTCCGCAGCCCCCACGCGGCTCCATCTGCGTCCTCGCCGCACACTGTGCCCGCACCTGTCTGCTCGCAACCCCCTCCTGTCCCCCTTCCCCACATTTCTCACCATCATCGCTGCCCCGCGTGGACGTCCCAGGCGCCGGGACTGCGGGTGGGGCCCCCTCCCCGAGTTCTGGGTCCGGCTGTCCTGGCCCCAACAGGGGCCCAAGTCTTGGCAGGGGATGTGGCCCCTCCTCCGCCTGCTGTGCAGTTTCCATCTCGCAGGCGGCCACTCCATGGCGAGGGCACCTGTAATGCACTGCCTCACCAACAGGCCTCCACAGCTGCTGCCTGGTGGGACCCAGGATGCTCCCTGGGACGGTGCTGCCTTGGCTCTGGGCCCTGTCCAGTCTCACCTTGGGCAGCAGGCTTTCAGCCCGGCCACTGCACCTGGGGCCTGAGGAGGGGGCTCGGGGACCTCCCAGCTGCGTCTCTCTTGGCTCCATCAGATCCCCAGCCCTGAGGCCTGGAGTTGCGGCTCCACCCGGCTTCCTGGGCAACCTCACTTCCTCTCGGCTTCCAATGCCACCGGGGCCGGCAGCATCTCCTGGCCAGACGCCTCTGCTCTGGCCAAGCCTGGCCAGTGCCAGGCTGTAAGCTGGCCCAGGCCATAAGCGTAAGGGTCAGTGGTGTCTGCCGGCCTGCGAGACCTTTCCCAGAACTCAGCCTGCCAGCGAGAGTGCCCAGTACATGCGGGATGAGTAGGGGAATCAGTAGGCACCAGCAATAAATGTCTTCTGTCTGGATAATTTAGAAGGAAACTTTATGGGAATAGAAAGCAAGCTTATTCTGTTACATTGTAACAGCTGCTAAGGACTACTAGGATGTTCCTCTCACTCAGCCTTCCCTGCGGAGGTGGGACAACCCTGGCCGGTCAGGGCTGCTGGTAGCGCCTGTCTCTCCTGGGACTCACACAGAAGAGAGGGAGTGAGGGGGGGCCCTTGGGAGACTCCCACCCGTTTCGGGGCTGGAAGGTGGTAGGGGGGTGGGAGGGGTGCAGCAGGAACATGAGGCAGGAGACGGCGCCGCGGACGCAAAAGAGGCCAGGAAGCCGCTGTCCAGGCACCGAGGGCCAGGCACGGGCGCTGGTCACTGGCCACGGTGCCCCGGGGAAGCACCCGGAGGCGCTGAGCCGGACCAAGAGGAACAGCGGGGTGAGGCGTCTGGAGGAGGAGCCGGTCCTCACCGGTGCCAGGAGGTCAGCTGGCGGCTTGTGGATGGCGACCGAGGTGCGGACTCCCTGGAGCCGACCTGTGGGCCAGGAAGAAGCCGGCTCAGACCGTCTCCGTGATGACCAGGTTCTCCAGGACAGTCACCACGTGGCTAGCGAGGAGTGACTCCAGCGGCAGCCCTTGAAGGCGAAGCCCAGCGGGATGAACTCTGTCACCAGGGTCTCTGTGGAGGTGCTCACGGCCCCCCCTCCCCCCGGGGATAGGGCACCATGGTAGAAGCGTGGAACTGTTTCGTCGGCCCCCCGAGTCCTCCACCCCGTCCCTTTGTAGGTGAACCTTTTCCCCATCAAGAGTCAAAAGTCCTTATCATGTTTCCCTGGCGGGTGCGGCTCAGTGATTGGGGCGCTGGCCTCCCAACCAAAGGGATGCAGTTGGATTCCCAGTCGGGGTGCAGGCCTGGGCCGGGAGGCAGGTCCCCAGCAGGGGGCGCCGGAGAGCAACCATGTACTGATGTTTCTCTTCTCTCTGAAAATAAGTAAATAAAATTTTTTAAAAAAGTCCTTATAATTTTGACTTTTCCAGAACTTCCTGCGAATAGTATGAGAAGAATACGCAGCTGCCTGAGCCTGGCCCTCCCCCTCGGCAGTCGCGGTTGGTCTGCGGCTTGGCAGCTGCCTCTCCCCAGGGCTGGGGCGGGAACACCCTGCTGCCTGCAGAGACCGCAGTTTACGCCTCCCCCTCCACGGAGGGCATTTGGGTCGTTGCCAGTGGCTGCTGATTATGAATCGAGTCACTGTACACATTTCCATGTAGTTTTATTGTGGAGTGTAAGTCCTGGGTTATATGGTAAGTGTATGTTGTAACTTCGTAAGAAGCTGGTAAACATTTTCAGAATCTGCTGTACCTGTTTGCCCTGGGTATTGACAGTTGTTAAAAAGTGTTATTCAAAATGTTCATGGTGATATCTTTCTGTGGTTTAAATTTGCATTTTCCACCCTGGCCGGTGTGGCTCTCTGGTTTGGGCATCGTCCCGTAAACCGAAAGGTCATGGGTTTGATCCTTGGTCAGGGCCAGTGCCTGGGGTGAGGGTTCAGTCCCACCTGGGGACACGTTAGAGGCAGCATTGGAGCTTCGCTCCCTTCCTCCCCACTCCCTCTAAAATCAGTAAGCACGTCCTTAGGATAAAAGAATTTGCATTTTCTTACTAAGTAATGATGTTGAATGTCTTGTCATGTGAATATTACCCACTCTTTGGTGAAATGTCTGTTCAAGTCTTTCACCTGTTTTTCTTATTGTTGAATTTTGAGAATTTTTTAATTCTGAATACAAATCTTGTATCAGGTATTTTGTAACTGTTTTTTCTAAACCATGACTTGTATTTTGATTTTATTAACAGTATCTTTTGAAGATCAGATGTTCTTCATTTGATGAAGTCCCCTTCATCATTTTTTTCCTTTAAAGATTGTGCACTTGGTGTTGTATCTAAAAAATCTTTGCTAACTTAAGGTCACAAAGGCTTTCTCCTTATGTTTTCTTCTAGAGGTTTCATTGCTTAAAGTTTTACATTTAGGCCTGTAGTCTACTATGAGTTAATTTTTGTATAAAGTATGACCTATATGTTGACATCTATTTTTAAAAATTTTCCTTCTTTTTAAAAAAGTATTTACTTATTTTTAGAGAAGAGACGGGAGACAGAAAGAGAGGGAGAAACATCTGTGTGGTTGCCTCTCGCGCGCCCCCTGCTGGGGACCTGGCCCGCAGCCCAAGCCTGGGCCCTGACTGGGAATCGAACCGGTGACCCTTTGGTTCGCAGGCCAGCACTCAATTCACTGAGCCCCACCAGCCGGGGCTAACAGAGTTTAATCTGTTTTACCAATGTCCAACTATGACCCACTTAGTGGCTCTCAATGTCCCTCAGAGAACACTGCAAAGAATGTGCCGGGACATCATCCTTGGACCCTGCTTGGCTCTTTGGCAAATGGCTGCCAAGCTGCATCGAAAGTTCGGGCCGGTCGCCCCGCGTGGCGTGGGAGGGCCTGTCCCCAGGCTGTGCTGCGCCTGCCTGTGGGCGACAGCGAGTCCTCACGGTTTGTCGGTCGCTCCCCCGTTTGTGCGCACAGCTTCCCTGGAAAGCGGGCTGGGCAGGTTGTATCCCCTTGCTCTGCACCACGGCGAGAGGGCAGCGACCACCGCGTGCGGCCGCCGGCTCGTCGCAGCCGCGCCTTTCCCCTGAGGTGACAAGACCTTCCCGGTTCGGGGTGGATGTCGGTGCCTGAAGAGACGTTCCGACCTGGATGTGAGTCCCTCCCTGTGAGGGGACCGTCTGGGGGCAGGAAAGGACCGGGGCTTCCTCTACGGCAGGGTAGCCCCGTAGCGTGTTCAGCACAGACCCCAATCCACATCTGTGCTTTGAATTAAAAGAAAAAAGCCTAGTGAGGATTATACGCAAAAACCCACAAAGAGCCGTGAAGATGAAAATAAAACGTGGGCCGTCAGTGCTGGCGGCTACCCCCAAAGTTAAAGCAACCAAAGGCGGGGAAAGTGTCAGGGACCAGGTCCCGCCCGCGGCCCCGCGGCTCTGGGGCAGGGGGATGGCTCGCTGCACCTCCTCCTGCTGGAGCTGATGCCACCTGCCCTCCCCGAGAGGGTGCCCCCAGGCCGTCCAGGTCCCGGCTGGTGCCCGGCCCCCACCCCCCGCCCCGCACGGCCGGTCTGTCCTCAGGCCTCTGAGGCCTGGTTCCCTGGCAGGGCCGGCCTGCGGTGGGTGGCCGCTGCCCCTGCCCCCGGCGGCTTCCAGCAGGTTCCTGTTCACTGACGGCCCCTCACACCTCATGGCCGGCCTCCTTCTGGACTCAGGCTCACCTGCCCAGCTGCCTGGGGGTGTCCTGCCGGACTCTGGATTCGCTCATGGGCTCCTCAGGCCAGCTTGTGCCCCGCGTGTCCAGCCCGGGAGGCAAGCGTGCAGCAGCGTCTCCTGTGGACCCTGGGAGCTGGCCTGGCCGCGGAGGCACCAGGGAAGCTTCAGGCAGGCAGGGCACCTGCCCCTGGAAGGGGGAGCGCAGGCCGTTTGGACAGACTGGGGCAGGCGCTATGGGGGCCCCAGCCTCGGCTGGGGGTGTTAATGACCGCGACATTCCTCTGAGGCTGGGGGTCGCGGACTGGAGCGGGCCCCGAGGGTTGGCGCAAACCCCCTCTTGTGCCACCTCTGCCACGGCCTCAAGTCCTGCGCCCTCTCTGTGTCTGCGGCGAGCTGCTCCCCCAGACACCCTGGCCTCTCCGCAGACTCCACCCCTCCTTTAAGCCTCAGCTCCAGGGTGGCTCTGCCACCCTTTGCTCCTAGGAGCCCCAAGCCCACTGCCCGGGGAACCTGAGGCGCCCCCAAGGCTCCCCGCCCCCACCTCAGGCAGGGTCCTTCCTGCCCACCCTGCTCACTGTCCCCCCCCAACTACCCCGTCCTTTCAGGCATGACCCCCACGTCCCCCCAAGTGCAATGTGGTGGCTCAGGTTTGAGCTGGACTCTGCCCTGTGGACTTGGTTGCACCTGGACTTGGTTTACGCTCGGACCCTCGGGCCGAGGCGGCCACCTGCGCCCACGATAAAGCGCCCCGTCCCTGAGCGCCCTCCTGAGCCGCCTGCGGGGAAAGCAGCAGCTCCCTGTGCACCGTCCGGGCCAGAGGACGCCCCAGTGGTCGCCCGTCACTGCCGGAGCCCCCCGACCCTGGGCCCCCTGAGGCCAGAGGCCGGTGGCTTCTATCCGTGTCCCCACCAATGGCGCGGTCATCGCTCCCTCAACCAGCCCGATCACCGGCCCGCCCGTCTGTCGAGCCGCCTGCCCCTCCATCCCTCCTCTTCCAATTTTTACAACTTCTTGCGGGCAGTTGGTGGCCTTCCCCAGGCTGTGCTTGGGCACTTTGCGCCCAGGGCTGCTGGGACATCCCCCGTTTTGCCAACGACTTTGTCACGTGGTGGATGTTCTTCCTGGGAACCTGGCACGGTGGGCAGGCCTGCTTCCGGGGGCCCCGCTCCCCCAGCCACCTCGGCCCCATCACCTGAGCTTCCCCTCCAGGTCCCCGCATGGAGACGAAGGTCCTGCCATCTCCCAAGTCGCTGCCACAGAACCCCTCGTCTCTCCGTGAGCTCCCGAGATCCGGACGCAAGCCCACGCCCGTCCAGCGTCAGCGTCCCCAGCGCCGGCAGCGCCCCCCTTGGGGCCTCCCCTCAGAGAGCAAGGCGGGGGCGGGGGCACTGCTCCCTGCCTTTTCTGCAGCAACCCGATCCCACACCCCGCCTGCACCAGCAGACGCCACCCCACCCCCGAGGACCCTTCCCCCTTCCCCCTCTTTCTCTCCTGGCTGCTAACATCAGCCTGGCATCGGGCTCCAGCTGCCCCCGCTCCCCCCCCATAAACAAAAGGGAAGGAAGCCCCCCACGCCCTCCACCCCGGGGTAGCCACCATCCCCACTCCTTCACCCCCACTCCCGCCCACTGGGCAGGACACCCCCAAACTCCTGTGACCTGTGACAGGGTCCCTGTGGTCTTTCCATCCCACACTCCCGGCGAACACGCTTCAGCCACGCGTCACGTTAACCGGCAAGGGGCCTTTGGTCCTGTGGTGCTGGCCCCGGTGGCTGTTCTGCCGTTGGCATCTCCTTGTGAACTTCAGGACCATTTTGCAGGCCCAGCCCCTCCTTGCACTGTTCACGGCTTTGCTGGCTGAACCTCCCAGGCCATAACCACGGCTTTGCTGGCTGAACCTCCCAGGCCATAAACTCGGCGTGTTTCTGACTGCCTCTCGGTTTTCTGCTGAAGGTCTTCCACAACTTCTGTTACATTATTCCTAGATACTTAATATCTTTGCTGCTTTTTAAACAGTTGGCTATTTAAAAGGATTCATTTCTTTGTTTATTGCCGTGTGTAAAAAAACAAGTGACTCACTTATTAACTGTGTCCCTTAAGCCTGCAAAACTTTCTTACGAATTTTTACTGACTGATCTGTGGATTCTTCCGGGTTTTCTCATTCCCGGGGCACCGGCTGGCCTCCTGCTCCTGCTCACGGCCCAGGAGGATCTCAAGGCCTCGACGCGGGAGAGGGGCCCCGGGCTGCTGTGATTTCAGAAAGCAGGATGTTTGCTGTGGGTGAGGTTTTGATGATATCCGTTATCAGATTAAGGAAGTTCTCTGCCAATTCTAGTTTGCAAAACTTTATTCTCATAAATGGACATTGGAATTTTTATGAATTCTTTGAATCTCTTAAGATGATAATGGGACTTTTCTCCCTTAGTATTTTAATGCCACAAATTACAGTGATTGATTCTCTAGCGTGGAACCAATTTGCACTCCTGGAGAAAAGCCAGCGGGGGCGGGATCAGCGAGCTGTCTGCTCGCCTCCGCTCTGCCAGCCCTGGGCCTGGGGTTCCCCTGGGTCCGAGGTCGCCTTGACCTACAAACAGTGCTGGTCTCGCTCTGCCTGGCTCATTTCACTGAGCACCAGGCCCTCCGGTTCCACCTGTGCCGTCGCCGAGGCCAAGACCTCACCCCTTGTTGCAGCCCAGCAGCCTCCCGGGGCGCACACAGCGCGCCTGCTTCACCCCCTCGCGCGCTGGCGGGCGCGTGGCTGCAGTAAGTAGCGCTGCAGGGGGCACGTAGCGCGTGTGTGCTTTCGAATCAGTCCTCCAGGACGCTTAGGGTGAATCCCCAGGAGTGGAGCTGCTGGGTCGTTCCATTTGTAATTTCCGGAGGCGTCTCCATACCGCTCCCCAGAGCGGCTGCTGCCGTCTGCACTCCTACCCACGTGCACGGGGGTCCCTTTCTCCACGTCCCACCAGCGCCCTCCCCTTCCTTTCCGGAAGCCCCGCCTCCCTGCCGGCATTTCCGTCCGCCCGCCGGGGGCGCTTTCTCTAACCGTTATTTCGAGGGCCTGTCTGCTCGCAGCCCGTCTCTAGGTTCGCCGTCGTTTCCCCTCCTCCCCGGAGGGCGGCTTCCAGACCCAGGCGCGGGCTGGACACGCTCTCCTCTGTCGCTGGGCCCCGTTTTCCGGGACCTGCCGGCCCCACACGGATGGGAGATGTGCACGTCGGTTTTCCTTTGTAGACAATGTGTCATTTTGCTCTGGCTGTTTTTAGGATTTTTTCCTTTGTTTTTAGTCTTCCAAAATTTAATTATGGTGGTTTCCAGGGGCATCTCTCCGGTTTATCCTGTGTGGGGTTTGCTCAGCTTCCGGAATCTGCAAGCTTATGTCTTCCACCACATTGGGGAAGTCGGAGCCATAGTTTTTTCAAATTCTTCGTAGTCCCACGGCGTCTTCCCCTCCCCAGCTCTGCAGCGACGACCGTGAGGCCGTTTGCGACCGTCCCGCGGTCTCTGCTCCTCTGCCGAGTTTTACAGCGTCCTCTGTGGCGTTGCCATGGAGTCAATTCGACTCCCTCGTCTTCAGGTTCCCCGATGCCGTTTTTGTCGTTGCCACGGACCTACTGAGTCTATTCAGTGAATTAAAAACATGTTCGGTTATCGCACGTTCAGGGCTATGATACCCATTTGGTTCTTTAAAAAATACCAACAGCTTTAGTGAGATGCGACGACGTGCACACAGCGCAGCCTGCGCAACGCTTGGCCCAGGGGTCTTCTGCGCCCTTGGAGCTGCGCCGCCGTCGCTGCTGGCGCCGGTCAGAACACCTCGCCCCCGCCCCCGCCCCCCCAGGCAGACCCTGGCGCTGGGCGGCCAGCGGTCGCTTTCCGTGCCTGCCCCGCCAGCCCCTGCGGCCGCCGGCCCGTTGTCCGCATCCCCGGGTCTGCCATCGAGGACGAGTCGCGTCAGGGGGCCCCGTGCGTGGTCTCGCGTGTCTGCCGCCCCTCGCCCAGCACCGTGTCCTCAGCAGCCCCGGTCCAGCTCCGTCCCACGCGGAGGGCGGACGGCGGCCGGTGGTGCGGCGACGCTGCGCTTACTTGTCCATTGATCAACGGGGGACCGTTTAGGCTGTTTTTAGTTTTTGGTTGTTATGAATATGCTGCTATGAACATGTACGTGCAGGCTTTTGTGGCGTGACCTCGTTCCTCCCTGATGCAGGCCCAGAGTGGGGGTGCCCGGGGCAGGGCGCCTCTGCGGCGACCTTTGAGGAGCGGCCGGGCTGGTCGCCACCCCTGTCGGGGACGTAGGAGCGGCCGGGCCCCTCCCATCCTTGCCAGAGGCTCATTGTGTAACTTCTGTTTATTTGCTGAAAATCCTGCTTTCCCATTTGCTTCAGAAGACGCTGCCATTTATGTCGGGAACGTTTGGCAACGGTGGCCTGAAACCCTCGTCAGAAAGTCCCGGTGTTTCACCCTCCCCGGGGTCGACCTTGTCGGCCTTTTACCACCGAACGGCCTCTGTCGTGCGCGGAGAGATGGTCACTCGCATCCTGGATGTTTTGGCCGTGATGTTGGGAGACTCTTCATTCTTTTAAAATGTCCTGTTTCAGCAGGTGGCCGCCTGTCTCGGCTGCTTGGGACACAGGTGGCGGCCTTGTGTGGACCTCGGGTCCAAGGGCAGCCCAGTCTCCGAGCCCTCGCAGCGCGGCCCTGGCCTGTCTCGCTCCTCCAGGCGCAGGGTCCGCTCAGCCCCCGCGGGCCCCCTGGGTGTCACTCTGTCACCGTGGGGGGCAGCTAAAGCCACGAGGCCTGGTTTTCGTATTTTTTACTTTTACTTTTGAGAGAGAGAGAGAGAGAGAGAGAGGAAGGGGGGAGAGAGGAAGGGGGGAGAGAGGAAGGGGGGAGAGAGGAAGGGGGCAGAGAGGAAGGGGGCAGAGAGGCAGGGGGCAGAGAGGAACGCCGACTTCTTCTGTGCCCTCACGCTCTCAGGGGCGACTCCTGTGTGTGCCTGACCTGGGTCGACCCGCGCCCGTGGGCTGTGGGGACGGGCGCCCACCGGCCGTGCTGCCCGGCAAGGGCTCGGCCGCGGTGCTGGGCTGCTGTGGCCAGGGCAGGTGGGGCCACCTGCCTGACCGTGGGTCCGGGGGCAGCAGCCGCGCCAGCAGTTCCCGGAAACGCCAGCCTGGGCCCCCTGCGCACGTCTGGCTGAGCCCATTGGCGGCTCTGCCCACAGGCCGAGGGGAGGGGCCTCTGATGCGTCCTGGAAACGCTGTTGCGCCTCCTCTGGCCCCAGAGGCTGGGCAGCCCCTGCTCCTGTCTGTCTGTCTGTCTGTCTGACTCTGGCCGTCGCTGGCCCAGGGCTCGGGGGCCATGAGGGCGGCTCTCTGGGCCTTGGGAGTCGGGCCCCTTCTCCTCACACTCTGGGGAGTCCCCATCGGTAAGTCCCTCCCTCCGTCCCTTGAACCTTCTGGAAGCAGGGGCTCTATAGATGCCAAGACCCTGAAGGGTGGCCCACTGCCTGGGCCTCGCTCGGCCCAGAGGTGGGCGGGACGCCCTGAGGCGTCCAAAGTGCAGACCCCTGGAGACTCCCGTCCCAGCTCTGAGCAGGTCCAGCCCCAGGGGGACCCAGGGCCCCCACCCCAGTGCTTGGCGCCTCGGTGCAGTGAGCGAATGTGGCTGCATCCGGTCCCAGCGACCCAGGCCCGGGAGCTGGGGCGGGATTGCGGAACGGGCCGAGCGGGCGGTGGGCTGGCCACAGAGGGTCCTGGGCTACGTTAGGTGTGCAGACGCCGGGGGGGGGGTGGTAGGGGACGTCCCTGGGGGAGCTCTGATGTGCCCAGGCTGGGACAACTCAGCCCCTCCATGCGGATGTCCTGGATGGCTGTTTCATTTTCCTGCATCGGCTCGGGACTGGGGCTCGAGGCCGGAGGGTCAGGGGACGGCGATGAGGTGGGGGTGCCAGGGGCTAAGGGGACCCTGGGGACGCGGAGGTCTTGACAGGGTGTGGCTGGGGGGAGGCTCCCGTGGCCGCGGAGGGGGCCCCGCCCGCCCCCACCCGGCACCGGGCAGTGAGGCCCCTCTGAGGCCGCGGTCCCTCCGCAGGCGGGCCGGGCGCCCTGAGGCTGGCGAACAGACACAGCCCGTGCGACGGGGTGGTGCTGGTGTGGCACGGGGACCGGTGGGGACGCGTGTGCAACCGGGAGTGGACGCTGGCGGAGGCGTCCGTGGTCTGCAGGCAGCTGGGCTGCGGCCATGCGGTGGGCGCCCCCAAGTACGTGCCGCTGCCCGGAGAGGAGGTGTCGGCCGTGCTGCACAACGTGTCCTGCAGGGGCAGCGAGTCCTCGCTCTGGGAGTGCCACCTCGGGGCGTGGACTCAGAGCCCGTGTCCCTACGAGTGGGCCGTGATCGCACTGTGCTCCAGTAAGTCAGCGCGGCGGGGCGGGGGGCCTCCGTGTGGGCTCCTCTCGGGCTCAGGAGCCGGCCTGGGCCCCGGGACGAACGGTCCAGCCTCTCGGGCCATTCCTCCTCCTGCGCCAGCGGCCCCTCCCTTGTCTCCGAGCGGGCGCCCTCGCGAGGCGCCGCACTAGGGGCTGGGGAGGCAGATGCCTGCTGCGCGGGGTCCCCGGAGCGACACAGGGCGTGTCAAGCGCCCCAGCAGGACAACCGCCGGAGGGAGGAGGGGTGGAGAGGGGGCAGGGGCCTGGGGCGGGGGCCGCCTGGCCTTCTGGACACTTGAGGGGGCTTGAGGAGCCTCTGTGGGTATTTTCCTGCCCAGATGACAGGGAGGTCTGTCTTGAGGGTCTCCAGCTTCCCGTGGGCCCTGAGGCGGCCGAGAGCTCCTGACACCCCTCATAGAGCCCTGCCTCTGACACGGACCCTCTGCTTGGGTCGTGGGGGCCGGCGCCCTTTTCAGAAACGATCAGAGTTGTCAAGGGCGTGATAGCAGGGCTCCCGCCAGGCACGGGCCTCTGAGCGGGGGTCCCTTGGCGGTTGCTCATCAGAAAGTCGCCCGTCCTCCAGAGGGGCACGCTCAGACCGGCACAGATGCATGGTGGGAGGAGCAGGGCCTGCCTCTGGGCTGCGCTCAGCCGGGCGGAGGCCTGCGAGGGGCATCTGATCGGGGGCAGGCCTCAGCCTCCAGGCGACCCAGGGGCCGGCGAGGGCCCTCTGAGTGTGGCCGGTGCGTTGCAGACGGCACTTTCCGGGAGATCCGGCTGGTGAAGGGCCGGAGCCCCTGCGCCGGCCTCCCCGAGATCCGGAACGTGAACGGTGTGGACCGGCTCTGCGGGCTCCAGGAGCAGGAGGCCACAGTGTTCTGCCGGGAGCTGGGGTGTGGCCCTGTGCTCCAGGCCGCGCGCCAAGACTCCGGCGGCAGGAAGTACATGACGTGCAAGGGCACCGAGCAGACCATCCGAAACTGCATACTCAACAACAGGCTCCGCAGCGGCTGTGACTTCCAGCTCGACAAGGAGGTGGTGTGCTCAGGTGAGCCGCTGCCGCCGCCTCGCTCGCTGCTTCAGAGGAAATGCAGCCAGTGGCTCTGACCTCTGACCCCTGACCCCGGGGAAGCAGCCAGGGACGCCTGCTCTGCTCTGCTGTTCTGCGTGCAGGGCGAAGGGCCTCTGGCTGCCAGTTCTGTCTGGTGCCCGGCAGACCCGCTGCCTGGATGCAGGGGACCCCTGTGGCCAGAGCCTCCCGGGGTGCAGGGCTGCTGCCCTGGCTCCGGGCACGCTGTGTACCTGAGAACAGCCGCCCCCGCTGAGGACGTGCCCCTCCGCCAGGACACACCGAGGCCCGGCTGGTGGGCGGCGAGCACCGCTGTGCGGGGCGTCTGGAGGTGCGGCGCGGGCTGACCTGGGGCACCGTCTGCGACGACAACGTGGACCGGGCCGCGGCCCAGGTGGCGTGTCGGGAGCTGCAGTGCGGCTCCGCGGTGTCCACGCCCCGGGGCGCACGCTTTGGCCGGGGCTCTGGGCCCGTGTGGACGGAGGCCTTCCGCTGCGTGGGCAACGAGTCCCTGCTCTTCCACTGCCCTCGCGGGCCCGGGCGCCAGTGCGGGCACGGCCAGGACGCGGGGCTCCGGTGCTCGGGTGAGGGGGCTCGGGCCCCGCCGCCGCGCCTCCTGCCACCCTCCCCAGGGCTCCGCGCAGCTCGCGCCTGCGCAGATGGGGTCGTGTTCCTGAGGGGGCGTTGAGGGGAGAAGGGACGGAGAGGGCGGCCAGAGCCTGGTCTTAGGGGGGCGCCCACTCCCCCCACCCCAAGGCCACGCCCCGGAGTGCGGCCCCCCTGCACCCGCCCCGACCGGCGAACTGGCGCGAGTGGGGGGCGGCAAGCTGGTGAGGGCCAGGCTGCGGCTCTGTGGCCGCCGCACCGGGCCAAGGAGGGCTCTGCCCCTTGCCGGTCTCCAGTCCAAGGGAGCCTGACGCCCCTCCCCCGCAGAGTTCCGGCTGGTCAACGGCAGCAACGGCTGCGAGGGGCGCGTGGAGCTGCAGGTCCAGGCGGCCTGGGCGCCCCTCTGTGCTACCCACTGGGACTTGGCCGACGCCGCCGTCCTCTGCCACCAGCTCAGCTGCGGCAGTGCGGTGGCCACACCTGGAGGAGGACATTTTGGGCCCGGGGACGCGCCCCCCTGGCCCGACAGGTTCCACTGTGTGGGGACAGAGCCCTATTTGTGGAATTGCCCGGCGAGCACCCTGGGGGCCCCCGCCTGCGCCCCGGGAAATTCGGCCGCCGTGGTCTGCTCAGGTGGGTCAGCACGAGGGACGGACAGAGCGGCCGGGGTGGACGGGGCTCTGAGGGAGGGGCTGGGCCTCTCTCTTCTCTTTACTGGCCGGGGGTCCCTCCCACTGACGCCCGCCTGCCCCCAGGTCTCCTCCATGCCCTGCGGCTGAGGGACGGCCAGAGCCGCTGCGACGGCCGCGTGGAGGTGTCCCTGGACGGCGTGTGGGGCCGTGTCCTGGATGACGCGTGGGACCTGCCCGGCGCGGGCGTCGTGTGCCGGCAGCTGGGGTGCGGGGAGGCCGAGCGAGCCTACGACGCGCCTGCGCCCGGCCGCGGGGACAGCAGGGTGGGGCTGAGCCGCGTGCGCTGCCTGGGCACCGAGACCCGCCTGACCCAGTGCAACGTGTCCGTGTCCCCGCTGGTGTCTGCGGGGGCCTCGCGGGACGTGGGCGTCGTGTGCTCCGGTGAGTGAGGACCCCGGCCAACCCCCCCCTCCCCCCCGCCCCCTGCCCGGCCCCGCCTGACTCAGTCTCTCCGCAGGGAGCCGCCGGGTGAGGCTGGCCGCGGGGCCGGGCCGCTGTGCGGGGCGCGTGGAGGTGCTGCACGGGGGCGCGTGGGGCACCGTGTGTGACGACGGCTGGGACCTGCGGGACGCGCACGTGGTCTGCCGGCAGCTGGGCTGTGGCCACGCCCTCAGCGCCCCGGGCGCCGCCCACTTCGGAGCCGGGGCGGGGCCCATCTGGGCGGACGAGCTGGGCTGCGGGGGCCTGGAGGCCGCGCTGTGGCAGTGCCCGTCGCTGCAGAGCTGGGGCCGCCACGACTGCGGACACAAGGAGGACGCCGGCGTCTTCTGCTCAGGTCGGTCCCGGGCGCCGAGTCCCGGTGCAGGGGGTCGGGCGTCCGCGGCCGCGTGGGGTCCGTGCGTAGCCGGGTGCACCGGCCCTTCGTGGGCCACGCGCATCCCCAGGGCCCCTCCCAGGAGCCGGGAGCCCCGCGGTGGAGCCGGTCAGCGCCCGCGGCCCCGTGGTGCTGCGGGGCCGGCCCTCCTTCCCGGGTTTTTTCTGAGCTTCATTAACTACTCGTGACCCTGTCGTAACCGACTTGCACCTGCTTTCCACCTGGGCCCTGGGGCAGCTGTTTCGATGCGTTGCAGGCCCTCACAACGTGAGTAGGAAGGGCTGTCTCTTGCTCTGACCGGTGGCAGTATTTTCGTCTCCTCGCTCCGTCCCCATTGGAACCCGCTGTCACGGGCGTGGGGACCGTCCCCGGATGCCAGCCAGCCTGGACTGATGCTGTGTCTGAACACGGCGCTCTGGGCTAATTCCTTTTATAAAAAATGTTTGAATTCTTATAGTCACTACCAAATTGATCCTCTCAGGCAAATAGATTCTTCTGTATTTCAAGTAATTCCCGGGGATGGGCTTCGGGACGACCGGCTGGCGCAGCCGCGCAGACGGGGCGCCGGCGCGAACTGTGGTCGCCCGCTGCGTCGGAGGCGCCCCCTGGCCCGACGGCGTGTGTCTTCCAGACGCCGTGGCCCTGAGGCTGCGAGGCGGCCCCCGGCGCTGCGCTGGGTGGCTGGACGTGCTCTACAATGGCTCGTGGGGCGCCGTGTGCAGTAACGGCCTGAAGGACACCACGCTGTCGGTCATCTGCCAGCAGCTGGGCTGCGGAGAGCAGGGCTGGCTGGAGAGCAGGGCCGTCCACGCCGACCTGGGCGTCTCCTGGGTGGACAACGTCGAGTGCCGCAGGCTGCAGAGCTCGACGCTGTGGCAGTGCCCTTCCGCCCCGTGGGACCCGCGCTCCTGCGCCCGCGGAGAGGAGGCCTGGGTCGCCTGTTCAGGTCGGGCCCCGGTGCTCTCTGGGGGGCTGGAGGGGCTGGCATGTCTCGACAGGCCACCCGCAGGGCCTGCCCTTGGCCCATGGCGGGCGGCCTGGGGTCCCGTGGCTCCACGAGCTGCCTTCGGAAGCTTCTCGGGGCGTTCACGCCGCACGGCTGCTCTTTAACCCTCCAGGATCGTCAGAGAACACGACACAGGGCCCTGGGGAGACCCTCAGCTGCCCGTCCGCGGACAGCTGCCCAGGTACCGCCCCGCCCAGCCCTGCCCGTGCCCCGCCCAGCCCTGCCCTGCGGTGACCGCGGCCCCCTTTCCCAGAGGAGGGCGCCGTGCGCGTGCGCGGGGGCGAGGACCGCTGCTCCGGCCGCGTGGAACTCTGGCTCGCCGGGTCCTGGGGCACCGTCTGCGACGACTCCTGGGACCTGGCGGACGCGGAGGTCGTGTGCCGCCAGCTGGGCTGCGGTGGGGCCATCAGCGCCCCGGCAGGGGCCGCCTTCGGCCCCGGCTCAGGGCCGGTGTGGCTGGACGAGGTGGGGTGCCGGGGCAGCGAGGCGTCCCTGCGGGACTGCCCGGCTGAGCCCTGGGGACGCACGGACTGCGGGCACAAGGAAGACGCCGGCGTGCGCTGCTCCCGTGAGTGGCCGCAGGCAAGGGGGCGGCTGGTGGGGGCCGGGGGGGGGTGTCAGGAGGGTCCCTCTGGAGCATCACCCACGTGGGTGCGCCCTGCCCGGCCCCGAGGTTGCCCCTGCGCTGGGTCCTTCTGGGTGGGGGGGCACAGGCTGCCACCGTGGGGGTCCAATGGCACGACAGGCGCAGGCCGAGGGGGGCTGGTACGCGGCTCGGGGCTGTGGCCGCCTCTTCTCCTCGCCCCACGTCTCGGCCCCTTTCTCCTGCAGGTGACGGCGGGGCTGTGGCCCTGCCTCCAGCATCGGGTAAGTGTGCCCCTCAGGCCCCAGCTCACACCCACCCGCCTTGCCCCGCCCCCGAGGGGCCCTGCAGTGGGGGCCGCCCTGGAGCCCCCTTGACTGGACGCCTGTGCCGCAGTGCGGGGGGCGGGGTCAGCAGGAGCAGGACTGTGGCGTCGGGGACCCTCGCTCTTGGGGGGACACTGGCCTCCGTGCTTGTGCCAGCTGGGAGCGGAGCCGAGGGAGGGACAGCTGGCCTGGGGTGGCCCGGCCACTGCGCCGGGGCCTGTGCCCTGCCCTCGGGGGCTCGGCTCCGGGACGCCGCGGCCTCTCGGACACGGCGGCTGTGTCCGAAGCATAGGTGAGGCCGCGGGCTGCCCTCCCGCCGTCCCCCGTCCCCCGCTGTGCCCTCACCTTAGCCCTCAGCCAGGCGGCCTTCGGGCCAGCTCTGGGGAGCGGCACAAGGCCTTCTCCCCTCGGGGGGCCCCTCCCCCCAGGCTCAGGGGTGCAGGCTCCAGGTCACAATTCCCCTGCGGCAGCTCCGGCACCAGGGAGGACCCGCCTCTCACTGTCCCCCAGGCCCTCCCCCGGCCCCGCTGCCTGCCCTCGGGGCCTGGACCCTGCCCATGACCTTCTGCCTCATCCTGGGCGCCCTCCTGGGCATCGCCTCCCTGCTGCTGGGTGTGCGGTGGGGCCGCAGAGGAGCCTGCAGGGGTAGGTGGCCGGCGAGGCCGGCGCGGGCTGCGCGGGCTCCTGGGGCGGGGAGAGACGCGCTCGGAGCCCCCGCCCTTCGCAGGCCGTCTGTCCCTGTCACCAGCCGGCGTGCTCAGCCCCCCGCACTCGCTACTTGTCGGGGACGGGGACCCTGGGCCCTGCTCTGCCTCGGAGGGGGTCCGGGCGAGGAGACGCGGAGTTCTGGGGATGCCGGGGGTGCGGGCGGCCCGAGGGTCCCCGTTCCTGTGCCCTCCGGTCCTGGCGCTCGGGGAGGTGCCCCCCTGCATGGGGGCGACGTAGCCCCTGGTGGGGACAGAGGCTGCTGGCACACGGGAGAGACCCCACAGGGCGGGCGTGGGCCGAGGGAGCTTCGGGCCTAGAGGTGCTGGTGTGGCCCTTGCAGGTTCTGGAATGTTGGAGAACCTGCCCTCGGAAGGCGTGTATGAGGACATCGGAGCTGTCCCCACGGGGGAGAAGGCCGATGTGCTCGGGGACCTGGCGCTGGAGGAGGACTATGACGATGCCTGGGAGCCGGAGCTTGGCTCCGAGGGGCAGGAGGACGCGGCGGAGGCGGCGGAGGCGGCGGGTGCGCCCCTGAGCGCGGCGCTGTCCTCCGCCCTCGCCCTGCTGTACTGCTCCTACGTCCGCGGCCCCGCCCTGGGCAGCGCCTACATTTAAAGACCCCGAGAGCTGCTCTCTGTGTGTCCGGGACCCTCACTCCCGTCCCCGTCTTGGGCGCTGACCCTCGCCGTCCCCTCCGAGTCCTTGCTGCAGTGGGGCCTCCTGGGCAGGCGCAGAGTTTGGGGGGCCCTGGCTTGTACTTTCACGGTTTCTTTTCATGGCCAAGCACAGGGTCGGGTCCGCTTCCTGGGGCCGGGGCCGGGGTGGGGGCAGGGTGTGATGCTGTCCCCCTTCAGCCTGCTCCCTGTCCGGTCTCCGGCCTGGTCTCTGCCCTCCGGCCTAGGGTGTGTGGACAGCCCAGGGCCCAGGGGCCCGCGGGCGCCGAGGAACTGCTGGGGCCCAACGCTCGTCTCTTTCCTCAAACACAGGTGGGCCCCTCGCGGCCCGGGCCCCAGGGCTCAGGCCGGGACAGAAGACCGCGGTGGCCCCCGTTGCCGGACGTGGTGACTGTGAGCTGGCCGCACTGGGCACCGGTGCGACTCCCAGGGACTTCCATGTTCCTCGTTTCTAAACAAGATGTCATTAAACTCCCTGTGAACTCGCTCGTCCCTCCCTCAGTTCATCTCAGAACGTTCCCCAGACGCCCGCCGTGGCCCCCGTTCTGCGTTTGGGCCCCTCTCAGCCCCACCCTGGCCTGATGCGGGCGGCTGAGAGCTCTCACCTGTCCTCGTCCCCAGCTTCTCGCCCGCAGGTTCCCCAGGGTGTGGGGGCTCCCCGTGGACCAGTCCCCGCCACCCCCGTCTGTGGGCAGGCAGCCCTGCCCCCGGCTCAGGTGTTGTGCCCAGGTCCCCGCTCCCCCCGCTGCCCTGCGCTGATGCCCCCGCCGAGCCCTCTGTGCCTGCCCCTCCCCCGGCCCTCTCTCTGTGCCCACGCCCCTGGGCGTGAGCAGGCCCAGCTGGCGGTGTCAAGGACAGCTGTGCCGCAGCGGATGCTGGACGGCAGCTCCTGACAGAGCTTTGGGGGTGAGAAGGGGTGTCCTGGATGATTGAGCACAGAGAGCGGCCCCCTGGGGCTTGTGGATGACGCCGGGTGTCCCTGAGGCCCCGGCCGGGAGCGTGGCTGCGTGCGCGGCTGCGGCTTGGGGGGCTGGGGCCTGGCCAGAGGGGTCCTCCCGCGAAACCCACGCTGGCCGGGAGACCCGAGCTGCCCTCTGGCAACTCTCTGGGAAAGTAAGCGCCTGGACGTTATTCTCATGAGAAAAAATACACATCCCTGTAGATTTCGAAACTCACAGGACCAAGAAAGAAAACGAAGAACGCTCTGTCGCTCAGAAGCGAACGCCTGGCCAACTCGGTTGGTGCCCTCGGAGGGCGTCCCTGTGAACGGAGGCGCAGGCGCCAGCCGCGCCAGGGCACGACCCCGGGCGCCCCCCACTTTGGGCGAGCTTCCCACCGAGGACGTGCGGCCGGACGCCCCTGTCCAGGCTGCCGTTTCGAACGTCCTCCACCTGCTGTTTGTCCACCTCCTCCGGGCGTCAGGCCCTTTCCCCAGACTCCGTCCTCCTGGACAGAGCAGTTCGCCACCTGGTCGTGTCTGTTGTTAATGTTTTTGATCAAATTGCTGTGCTCTTTTACGACACATTGGAGCAATTTTTGGTCATCACCACACCTTCCGTGCGAAGTAGAGAAAGCTGCGTCCCCCACGGAGCCTACCCCTGGCCCCGTGGTGGCCGTGTGTCCACGAGTCTCCCGCCTGGATCTGCAGGAAGCCCGCCTGGGCTGTGCACCCGCTGCAGGTGCTGTGTGGGCTCAGGCCTGGGGGGCAGCCCCGCTCCGCATGACGGATGGGGACTCTGATACGCCAGGGGGCGGGGGGGGGCGGGCTGCCGCTTCCTCTCAGGAGGCTCAGCGCTGAGCGGGCACCTGCCTCTCGCAGTGGGCGGCCCGTCCGCCGGGGCCCGGGGCGCACAGCGGCGGAGGCGACCTGGGATGCCCTTGCCCCCTCGGAGCCTGTGGCCCTGCCCCCTGGCCTGCTGGGCCCTCTCTGCAGGCGACGGCCGCTGTGCTGAGGGTCGGGGGCTCAGGGTGGCCGCCGAGGGGGCCGTGCCCGGGGGCGCCGGGTGCGGAGGGCTCGCGGAGGGGACACGCCGCTGCCTGGCCCTGCGGTTCTGCCTGGAGGACGCTGTCTCCCTGCGCGCACTTCACCGTCTCCCCCGGTGTCTCTGGGGCCCTTCCGGCCCTTGCCCTGGTGCCGAGTCCCCGAGGGGGTCCTCAGTCCATTGCGGGCCCTTTCGGAGGACGCAGGTTCCTTCTCGGCCCCAACCCCCACTGGTTTTTACAGCCGGCGGTTGTGGGGACTTATCTTCCCGGCGCAGGGACCCTGGCTGGGTGGTCTGGTCTGCGGCCGGGGCCCCTCGCTCCCCAGGTGTCCCTCCCAGCTTTTATCCGCCGCGCAGGGGTGTGGGCCCCCCGGTCCCATCTCCACCCCTCCTGCCCGTCTGGATGGATGTGGCTTCTTTAAATGCTTGGTTGTCGGACTTCCGCACAGCTCGGTTTTCTGACGGTTCTGGGTGAACTTTGTTTTGTGGTCTAGTGGTAGTTTTTGGTCGAGCTGTGCACGGAGGCCAGGCCTGCTCACCCCCCACCCCCATCATCACCTGAAGTCCTGGTCGCTTCCTGTCCTTTGGGGTTGTTTATTTAGGAAATACAAGTAATCTGTGTGCACCGACCTCTACTTTCCTGAATGTATTAACTTAAACAGCCCTGTGTGCATCAGGAGGGTGTTCTACGTAGGTCTGTCTCTGAATGCGGAGGGTTTTACTTCCTCAGGTGCAGTTGGAGGCCCTTCGGATCTTTTCTCGCCTGATTGTTCTAGAACCTGCAGGGCAATGGGAGTAGCACCACGGTGACGTTTCACAAATACTCGTTGTCACACAGAGGAGTGTTCCTTCCTTCTCCTAGTTTGTTGACTGTTTTTTTCATGAGAATTTCTTGGATTTTGTCAAATGCTTTTTTGCGTCAGTTGGGATTCTCATGTTTGGTTTAAGTTTCTCCTTCATTCGCCCGAGGAGGGAAGACACGCGGCTGCACGTTTCCTTGTTTAGAAACTTTTGTTTGCCAGCTCGTTCTCGTTGCTTCTTATCTGTCTGCTCATGTTTTCTATTTCTTACTCAGTGAGTTTTGGTCCTAAGTGTGTTTCTAGAAATGTGTCCATCTCACCTGCGCCATGTAATGTGTTGGGGTGCACATTGGTAGGGACCCCCGCAAATTCCGCAGTGAAGCCTCCACCTTCGTTCCTGCCTTTTCTTGGCCAGTCCTGCTAAATGGGAATTTTGTTCACCTTTTCAAAGAACAAACTTTTATTTTCATTATTCTCTCTGTTGTTTTTATTCTATGTTTCATTTATTTCCAACCTGACCTTTATTATTTCCTTCCTTCCATAGTCAAATCTAGTTTATTCTTTTTTTAGTTTCGTAAGGTGTAATTTAAGTTATTTATTGGAGATATTTCTTTTTTCAGCCATTGATGTTTCTCTTCTCTTTCCCCCCTTCCCTTCTCTAAAAATAAATAAAATCGTAAAGAAAAAGAAAAAGGAATGTGTTGTGTGTCAGTTACAAAAATCAGACACAGCTGAGGGTTACAGTGCATATATGTAAATTAGAAGAATTGTTTAAATCTTGGGTTGTTGAAACTATTGCATTTACTATCACATGAAGTAGATACTTATTGGTTAAGTATTAAAAATATGTGCCGACGCCCAGGCTGGAGTGGCTCAGGGGACTGAGCGCCGGCCTGCGACCCAAAGGGTCGCCGGTTCGATTCCCAGTCAGGGCGCAGGCCTGGGCTGTGGGCCAGGTCCCCAGCAGGGGGCGCGCGAGGGGCAACCACACAGTGATGTTTCTCTCCCTCTCTCCCTCCCCCCCTTTGCCCCTCTAAATAAATAAATAAATAAATAAATAAAACCTTTTAAAAAAGTGCTGATGGATTGAGTTGAAGGACATTAGGCAGCTTGGGAGCGGTCGTTAATTTGTTTTGTTAAGAACCACTTTAAATTAACAACAGCCTCTTCTGTGGAGCCTTTGCAATGACCAGTTTCTATATGTCTTTTTTCCTGAACTTGGCCACGGAGTTAATTTGCCAGAGTTTCCTTGTGCATTTGGCCACCTCAGCCCTGTGCGCTCGGCATGTTGGGAACGGACGCGGGGCCTCAGGCCGCTCGGGCGGGCGCCCGCTGTGGCGCTCGCTGCCAGGACCCCGCTGAGGTGCGGGCGGGGGGCCTGCCCGCGCAGACTCTCCCTCCGACTCCATCCTCAAGGGCAGGACGGCCTGTCCCCTGACACCGAGCGCCCCTTGTGAGACGGGGCACCTAGAAATGGGAGGGGACGCCCGCGGGGGGGGCCGGCATCGGGGTCGGAGTCCAGCCGGCGGGCGCTCGTCCCCTGACGCGACGGGCGAGGCCGGCACCTTCCTCCGCGGCCCCTCCCGGGGCCTGTCGCCCAGTCTGACCAGGAGAAACACACCGGCGAGTCCACAGGGGAGCCCTCGGTGAGGCGCCTGGCCGGCCTGTCTCGGAGCCGCCAAGGCTGTCCCAGCGCCGGTGGTGACGGTGGGAACGTGGGACCTGCCCCACCACTGTTTGGACATTGTCGCTGTGAGTGCCGACTCTGAACGACACGGGGCTTGTAGAACGTGGCCTGTTTGTATAGGATCCTGGACCCTGACCTTCAGGCTTCCCGGCTCCGGGAGGCTTGATGACCTCCAGCGCTGCAGCCAGGACGACGTGAAGCTGGGACCGTCACCGGCCGCGTCAGAACGGACGGCGCTGCCTGCACGTGGAGAACCTGCCGCGCCCCCGGATCTCTGTGCTCCGTCCCCTCTCCCTCCACGAGAGCCGCTGCCCCCACTGAGCAGGGAGACGGGCTCTGCGATGTGGCCCCCCCCCAGGTGGCCGGCACCTGCGAACAAACCGCTTCCCTTCCCGGCAGCACCTGCCTCTGGAGCGTCGGCGCTCGCAGTGCAGGCAGCTGGGCCTGCGTGTGGCAACAAGGCCGTCAGAGC